ACGCGTCAAGTAAATTATAGTATCTTTAATTTTAGTGTTTTTCAGTTGACTGAGGGTAATCGAGCTTAAGACACGTTGAGCATGAAAAGTAACACAACCAACAAGTTACAAGGGCACAGGTTTCACTTGAGATATGTTCATCTATTACATTTGAACTTAGAGCATCCGAGATTACACACACATGACATGTATTTTGTTATTGAACTCTTTGTGTGGATAATACGAAATATTTCTCTAACAAAATCTAAACAATGCAAATGTAGGCACAACCATATTGACTAGAGCAAATGTTATTCTTTCTTCATTTGAGTTTGAATTTTCATTCTCATAATTAATATTTGATTAAAGTATCAAACATCTTTCATGTTGAGAAGAAAATAAAAAGATCCATGCACCCAAAATTGGTCATGACATCACATAATGCACTTTGACATGTCAAGAGGCAACAAATTCTTTTCTCTCAGATTGGCAATGATTTTATGGGGGCAAGGCAATGCCTTTTTCTGCAAGGGATTTAGAACTTTTCAATCACAAAAAAGTAGCAGCTACTAGGCCAAGAAGTGCTTATTGCTCTTTGCAGAAAATGCTTTCATCTAATCACACTACTTCTCATCCATCCCACATGCTCCAATCCACTAACAAATTTCAAAAGCCTTATTATATCAGAGATTATGTGCAAACCCTAACCACAGAGAATTCAACTCTCTCAATCATGGCTGTATTTTTTCCTCATGTGGCAGGGTTTGAGAATTGCTTGACTTTATGTGTCTTAAAGTAAAAGCTTTTCTATTATATGGAGAGATTAGTTAATTGGGTATTATCTTGAGGATATTTCATGTCCAACGAAATTTTTATTAAGGTTTTATATAGTTGATAATTATTTTATTTTCAGTGTTTAATTTGTGACTAATTACCTTCATGATAATTTGAAAATTTGAGATTAATTAGATCCATACTCTTAGCACTTTAGAGCATCTAAAAAAGAGATGTAAAAATGTCAAAATCAACACTAATAGTAAAAAAGACAGCAACAATGTTTTCTAACCGCAAAGCCAAATCTGATGTGGCATGACATGGATTGACAGTCCTCACCCTTCTGCCAAAATTGACAGAAGCTTCAAATATTTTTTTAATTGATTATTAAATACAATTTTGTTGGTTTTAAACATTTATTATAATAGTTTTAGGTAATGAAAATTAAAAACATACCATGTGGAGAGTGAATTTTTAAAAATGTCAAAGTGTCACATAAGCTGTCAAATTTAAAATTTATGTTTAAAATGTAGCATCTTCTTTGAAGATGCTCTTATGCACTTTAACTAAGAACAACAAGCAATGCAACTCAGCCAAATTACAATTTATGAAAATAAATTATTAATTTCTTTATTAAGGATAATTAACTAAGGACAAATCACTTTGGATGATCCAAATTCCACAATATTATGCTTCCCCAAAATTCAAAGTGGTAACAATTTTGGTAAGAAATGACATAATTATTTTTAGGGAACTTTAATGAAAAGCTTCCGATACTGTTTACTTTAACAAAAAATCACATTTTTACATTAAAAAGTCAATCATGGTACTATTCACTTTACCTTTTATTTTGTTCTTATCTTTAAAACTCAAAGTTTTCAAACTCTTTTCATTAGTTTTCTTTTATTTTTACTGTGTTTTTTTGCATAGGTTTCAAAACTTTGTTCATGGCAACTGTCCCCATATTATCATTTCGTAACCAATTACTTAATTTATATTTTTCTAAGTAACCAATAGTAATGTACCAACTTAATCCTTGCTTTTCCATCTTTGCTGGACCAAGAAGCTTTAACTTTTAGACATGAAGAAATAAGTGTGATATTGACAATCTCATATCTCCTCCATACGACACGCTTGACTAGCTACCCTCCTGTCGTTCTATTTTCAACCCCGTATTCAATCATGAATCTTATAGTTTTGCTCATTTTTTGTTTTTTTTTTATTTTATTTTAATTTTATTATTATTACGAGATCGAGAATGAAGAGTTCAAAATTATTATATTAATTAGGAAAGAGGAAAATTTCGAACTCATAACGCATGGGTAGAAATCCAACGCCCTATTTACTAAGTTATTAGCCAACATGCATATTTTTGTTTCTTTTATTTACACTAATAACATGCTTACTTACTTCAAATGCATTTTAAATGGTTACAATTGTTTTTTGTACGTTTATTAATATATATATGTATTTTTCTTTTTGATACAGTTATATTATTTAGATTGAGAGAGTGAGACAATAAAGTAGTTGTGAACTCATTAATCTCAAGATTTAAATCTAATACCTCTTACTTAAAAGTATTCTAATTTTTAACTTCTCTTGCATTAAATGAAAATTATACAATAAACACAGTTCGTAATTTAATACTTGGTAAGTCATGTAGTAAATTGATTAGGAGATCTAGTAGTCTATGTTCTTTTATATCCTTGACTTCAATAATTCATATAGCTTTCCTTGTTTTAAATAAGTAATGTCACGTATACGACTTCTATTAAGTAGTTCCATGAAGCTTAGTTATAGGGTGCGGAAGAAAATGCAGTGCCAATCATTTTAGACAGGCTTATGATGGATTCATTGACTGAGCAAAAGAAACGACCTAATTTCAAAAAGAGAGGATAATGATTCATTGACCACTTGGTTTATGACTTGTGAGGGAGAATCCAATCGTCAACAAGAAAGTTCATCTCTTGGAAAAATGCATGTGAAAGGAACGCAGAAGCGTCCGAAACCAATCCAAATGGTAAAAACGTACAAGAATTAAAGACTGGGAGAAGTGGAGAAATTGGTAGAAAGCATTGAGCAGACAAGGATGTGAAACTCCCAATCATTTTAGACCTTGATTTCAGTGATGTACTTACTACTTAGAGTCAAACTAAATTCAACGATCAATAATACAAATTATACCACACTAGATGTTCTAGTCCAATACTGCGTCTAACTCTCTTTTATACGTAAGTTCGAATACCTTAGATATTTTTAATGCTCGTTTGGGTAGTACTTTTTATTAATTGAGAAAACACTTTGATTTTGAAATCAGTAATTAGTAAAAATGCAAGTTAATCCTGAATAAACACTTCTCTTTTGGGACCCAAAAACATTTTCTCTAAAAAATGGTTTCAATCAGCTACTTAATATTACAGTCTAGTAGTATTCCTATTTTCTTATAAGTGAGAGATTTTAGGTTCGATTTTCGTCAAAGGCGAATTTGAACCATGTTATTGCTAGCCCATTATGAGGCTCAGACTACTCTTCCATCTACACTTAGCATAGATAATATCATTTGTTAAAAAAAAAAAAATCAATCATTTAAAATCACTTTCCAAACGAGCTCTTAAAAATTGAGTGTTTAATATCGTTTTTATATAGTCATTTAGTACTACGATCTAGTGATATTCCTCTTCACTTGTAAAAGATTTGGATCATTTCCTGAGGCAATGGAGAGGATCCTCCTGACCAAGCATTGTGGGTTGTTGGATAGAATCCAACGGCTATAATTATTATAACTTTAAAAGGACCCTCTGTTTGTAGCGGTTGAATAAAAATTCAATGGCCCACAATGTTTGGTCAGGAGGATCCTCTTCATTGGCTCAGGAGAGGATCCAAATCCACTTGTAAGTGAGAGATTTTAGGTTCGATTCTCGCTAAAGGTAAATTTGAACTATATTATTGTTAGCCCATTATGTGATTAAGCTCACATCCCATCCACTTAGATAATATCGTTTTATATAAAAGAAAGTTAATAAATAATATTTTTAACTATACAGAGTCAATTATTTTGTCTTTTTAGCATTTTTTTTCAACTCAAAATTCATTTGCTTTTACCTTTATACGACCAATTGTAGCAAAATTAAAGCAACCAGAAATAATGATTGGACGGGTGTGGTCTTAATCGGTCGACAAGTCCGCCAAAGACTTGTTCATGTGAACTGAAGAAACCATGCATTGATCATTTTCGTACCGGAAACCTACCAGATAAGCCTACTGCGGGAAAAGATAGCCGCCGTTGCGTATCCCATTCCCAGGCATCGAACGGCCATGATTACTAAAGCTCGAAGTTTTGCTAAGATATGTGGCAATGATTAGGGTTGGATTTCGTTTTTCCAAACTATTAACAAAATAAAATGGGTCTGCATCATTAGAATTTACTTACAGATTATGTGATCGACCAGTTTATAATATTTTTCATTGCACCGGTTTCGTAGTAGGTAACGATTGAAACATAACAGAACGATAAAACATAAATTGCATGTTGCAAGCAAAATCTGATAGTTTATTATTTAGTGTTATACATTAATTTGTCTGAATTTACTTTTTCTTATGATAACTATTGTAAGATGAGAAAATTGGATACTTTTTTTAATATAAATATTGTAAGATGAGAAAATTGAATGCAAAACTTCGACGGACGAAAATAAATCATCAACTACTCATGGCAATTACCACACAAGTTTTCTATAAACAGTGGCAGCAAGTGATGAGTGACAAGAGAGTGGTCTTACACAGCACATTAGTATTCCGTGCTTGATATATTTTAAAAGTCTTGATTCAATGGCGGCTTAATTTGCTAAAATATTTGTTTATGTGTAATAAAAGATGTGATCTAATAAATATCCTGCCGTAAATGAAATGATAAGGGAAATAATATTCATTTTTATTTCCGGCTTATGTATATTTTTGTTTATTTTTAATATTTACACTAAAAATACAAGTGATCGTTTACCATAGTAATGGAAATGAGTTGTTCCTTTGCATTTCGACGTTGGTTCGAACTTTATCGATTCCCTAATCTAACAACTAACAACCAATACTATCGTCTTATCAAAAACAAATATTTACACTAAAAATAGAGTTTTATGATAAAAATTAATATTTTCTATAAAAAAAAAGAACAAAAATTAATATGTGTGGGCAAAAAAAAATATGACGAACATAAATTATTTCCCAATAATGTATTAATAATTAATAACTCAGTCAAAAAACGTCGATATATAATTGATCAACTCGGTCATGACAGTCACAGCTCGGCTATATATTAAACAAAAAAAATCATTTAAATAAAAAAAATCCTTACAAACTCGCATGCACGACGAACAGAAAAGTCTCACACACATATATAATTATATACTGGTATTACAGAAATCCAAAAAAATCTATCAGAAAAAAGAAAATACATTATATTTTGGTTGACAGAAATTTGATATGTAATTTAATTATTTAATATTTAGGAGGACGGCAGAGACTTGTGATCAAGTTGACTGGGTGAACTCAGTGGAAACAGAGTCAGCAGCTCGGGCGGCTCGGCCCCTCTGGGCGTACTGAGCGGCGAAGGGTGCAAATAAAAACCCTTCTCCGCAATTGCCTTGTCCTCCTCCGCCACCGCCGCGGGAGACGACGGCGACTCGGACCCTGAACTCGGGAATGAAAACGAGTCGAACCCGAGTGGTGTGATGGGACTCGGAATCGGCTGAGAGCCGTGTAGGGTGGCGAGGCTGAGTTTGATCTCCAGCTTTCTCATGGTATGTCTCCGCTCTTGGAGCTTGAACGGTGACCGGCGGGGGCTTGTTAGGTCACCGGGAGTGGTGGGTGATTTAGGGTAGTGCCTTGCTGGGTGGGTGACCGGCTTTTCCGAGTTGCCGGATAAGCCGGTGAGCTTCTGAACGAGGTCTCTGAAGTTGTTTGTGTCTGCCTGAACGAAGGTTGTGGGTGACGATGTTGGTGAACAGAGGTTGCTGTTGCTTTGTATTGAGTGATGATGTCTTTCCATTTTTAGAGAGAGAGGGAGAGAGAGGGAGGGATGGAGAGAGAGAGAGGGAGATTTACAAAACTAAAGTTATGTAATTAATGGTTTATGCTTTTGTTGGGAGTTTGGGAGAGAGGGAACGAATGTGTGATATGGATGAGAGACTAGTCTTGAAAAGAGAGTGATCTTTTATAATGGTGACTTTGGGTTAATGTTGTTATGGACATGTATAAGTATTTTAAAAATGAAAAATGATTTGTGCACGCTCGTTTTCTTATGTTTTATTTTATTTTATTTTTGTTATTAATCTTTTTTTTTTGATATTCAGTTTAAATTCAAAAAGTAAAAATGAGTGTTCAAAATGAAAAAAAATGGTAAAAAACTCTAAATTTTATTATTTGTATCATCTTAATTAACAGCATTTTACTTCTGCTAAAAAGATAACAAGTCAAGTCACCATCTATAGAAGAACTTGAATGCAACGTATTCTTAATTAGCAATCTAATTCTTACTTATCTCAAGCATAATGTGTTGCGTGAGAAAGAATCAAGAGGCTATCAAGAAAAAAAAAAAAAAAAAAAAAAAAAAAAGCTCGAGCTTTTTGCAAAAATGACACAGGATTCACTGGATGAGTACGTCATGGGGTGTGGTGTAACTTTAGGTTACTAATTAATTAACTAAATTATGGGCTTTGCCTGAATTTGCTTTATGTTCAGACCGCTGGTTTGGAATATTCAATCAAACACACACAAGAAAAATAAAGGAAATAAATTATAAAAGGGGGGAGGAAAATAGACACAGTAGGTTCAGACTCACACATCAAACCTTATCTCTTGCTAGGATTTTGCTTCAAAGTCTCGATAATTATTCACCACCATTTGCACCCTAAATATATATTATATAGCTTTACAACGACTTACTCGTTTGAAAAATATTTTTAAAATACCCGAAGATGTTTTTAGTTAAAGTGTTTTTGGGTTCCAAAAATACTTGAAATGATTTCGGCAGGAAACACCAATGATGTGTTTCTTGAAGAAAGAAGTTTAAGTGTTTTTCCAAGATTCAATTATATTTTTACTAAATAGGTTTCAAAAGCAATCTCATCAAGAACGTTTGTAGCTATTTTAAAAGTATTTTAAAATGAGATCGGAGTCTTTGCAATTTCAATTGGTAGGAAGATATATAAAACATTTAAGGACTTTAGCATGTCACTCCCGCACATAAACAATTTCTTGGTACTTCTCCATCTTATTTTTCATTGTCAATAATAAGAGAGAGATTCAAATACCTCTAGTTATAAATTAAGCATTTCATCCCACTCACATTGGGGTTAGGCGAGTTTACAGGATGTGTCCACTTGAATTCGACTATTTTTATATGTTAAAATAATTTAAAATATAGCCTTATTCATAACAAATATCTTATTATCGTTAATCAACAGCGAATTTGTTATTCGTTTATCATTCTTTACATAAAAGTGAGTGCATGGAGCCATGTCTATAATCTTACGAGTGACAGATGCATATATACTTAATGACACTCCAAAGTCCAACTATATGTTCTTCTAGCTAATTGCCTCATTTGTTTAATTAAGTGTGGTATAAATTATTGTTTTTTATTAATATTGTACCTAGACACTCACCCTCCCATCTCATTCTTCCCTTTTTTGTGACATATCTTTTTTATGCGCAGTGATGGATATGCTTCAATCCATTAGACGCAATTTGTGCCGTTTAAAATTTTAAATTAAGCCGCCGACAGACACAATTAGTAAGCTCTGATTCTAATTTCTAAATTATATCGAGCATTTTATTTGATTAGACAAAAAGGCACAAGAACCGTATTCTGTCTCAACGTACGCTTGAATGGTTTAGTAAAAACTATATTTTTAGTATTGAATTTTCGTACTCTTATGCAATAAAGTTGACCTTGTGAAATTCGATATAATTAGCATAAAAGAGTTTTTGCTGTTAATGATTTGGTTCGTTTGAATTTACCAAGCAATTTGGGTCTTGTCTTTTTTGAGTAAGTTCCTTCTTGTTGTAAATATAACTAGAGTCTTGTGCCTCGTGATATTCTAATGTAATCTTTTTTATTTTATTTTGGGCTTGATGCCCTGTTGTAATCCAGAAAAAAACAAATATTTAAGTATAATAACCATTAGAAAGGAAAAGTTTGGGATTAATAATGAAACTATAGACATAACATTTGAAAAAAAAGAAGAGAACAAGTTAGAGCATATCCGAAAAAGATTTCATAAGTGCCAAGTAGACATTCAACGGTAAAAAAAAGCAACAAAACTTTCTCCAACCAATGCTTCATTTCTCACATGGAATAGCGTCTAGGCTCTTGCTGCCTAATTTAACGTTGCTGTTAAATTGAGCTTTTGAGTTTTAATAGATGGGCTCTCATTCAATATTAAAATTAGGTTTGGCTGTAAGAATATGAGTGGATATCAGTTTTCAATATAACGTCCACATAAGCCATCATATTTAAATGTTGTGGTTAAAATTTGATATTTGCCTTAAATGTTAAAATGTTCCTTGTGTTTTAGTTATTGAGTCAATTTAGTCCCTGTGTTTTCAATTTGACCAATTTGGTCATTGTGTTTTAGTTATTTGTGTTTTAGTTATTGAGTCAATTTAGTCCATGTGTTTTCAATTTGACCAATTTGATCATTGTGTTTTAGTTATTGGGTCAATTTAGTCATTGTGTTTTCAATTTGGCTAATTTGATCATTGTGTTTATCTCTGTTAGCCAATTAAGGACATTTTATCCAATTTTTGAATTTTTTTTTATAAATTATTATAAACTTATATATTTGATTTAAAATATTTAAAAATGAAATAAAAATAAAAATTTAAAAAAAAAATTTTTCCTCCCAACTCTCCAACCTCCTCCCTAACATTAAAATAAATGGGCCTGATTTAATAATCCGGTGCTTATTTAATACAAGGCTTAAATGTCAAAATAGTCTATGTGTTATAGCCAAATGGCCAATTTAGTCTCCGTGTTTTTTATTTGGCTAATTTAGTCATCGTGTTTGTCTATGTTAGCTAATTAAGGACATTTCATTCAATCTCTTTTAAAAAATTCATAAGAAAAATTATATGAGATATAATTACCCTTTCTCTTTATAGAAAAATGAAAGTCAATGAGAAATAACACATATAAGAGATAAAACTTTCAATCTGAAAAATGATTAAGGTTGTGACATAGAAAAGAGAGGGGGTAATGTTAGGGAGGAGGTCGGAGAGTTGGGAGTATAATATATATTTTTTAATTTTTAATTTTATTTCATTTTAAAATATTTTAAATCAAATAAATAATTTTATAAATAAGTTTATAATAATTTATAATTTTTTTTTTCAAAAATTGGATAAAATGTCTTTAATTGGCTAACAGAGATAAACACAATGACCAAACTGGCCAAAACACAAGGACCATTTTAACATTTAAGCCTATATCTTTTGACATGCTCTTAGTAAGCTAAGATTATGACAATTTCATAATACACTTCTCTCCGATCTAAAGCAATAAAAACGTTAAGAAACATATCGATAACATTTGATATAATAAAAGAAAAGAAAAATAATCGAAGCATGATCTGAACAAATAAAAAGAACAAAAATATAACCACAGCAAGTGACCCAGTGATAAAGGCGCGGACTGCGGCTTCCCATTAAACAAAAAAATGTGGGAGGTCCCGAGTTCGATACTCTGAGCTGGTGAGTCTGTTTGACCATGGCCACGAACAGGATGAAATTTTCCATAGCCTCTCTGAATCTGAAGAGGTGGATAAGTGTAGCTTGCAACCGATTGTTCTTTTTTTTTTCAAAAAAAAAAGAAAAAGAACAAAAAATATATGAGACTGATACATGTATTTACTTAATACATCTGTACGTATTAAGGAAATACAAAGTCTGGCGCTAGAAAACGTAAATCTGATTCCGACCCATTCAAAAGCCGGTTGCAAAGCCCACAGACCAATTCAAGAAAGTGGGCTATCCTTGTTTTCCATCTAAAAAAAGAGGGAAAATTTTGGTCAGCTTTGGGCCACAAGAAACCATTAAAAAAAACCGCCACGCACACGAAGACAAAAAGAAGCAAAACTCTCTCTCTTTCTCTAGATTCCAGACTTGAAGAAGACGAGGAGGAAAATGGCGAGCTGTGTGTGCTGCAGGCCGTCGATTGTGGCCAGACCGATTCAAAACGACGGCTTTCGAACATCGTTGGAAGCTCTAAATCGCGTTGGGGTTGTCGTACCTTACGGTACAAGCACAAGGTCCTTCGGAAGGGTTTGCGGCGTGCGAGCTTCCGCTGTGGACTCGTATGAAAGTTCATCGAATTTCGCTAATCGCATGGAAAAAGCTTGGTTAATCTCTAAGGTAATTCTGTTTTCGGTAAATTGGGTCTGGTTTTATTTAGAAATGATGTTTAATGCGATTGAATTCGATAATTAGGTCTGACCAAAACCCTAATGGAGTGAAAATTTCAGATTGAATCTTGATGAAACGTACCTTATGCATTTTTTCCGTTTGGTTTGTCGCTCGATTCTCATTTGATTTACTCAATCCAACGACTACTTAGGAAAAAGGAGGGAGGAAAAACGAGTGCGGAAATCATTTCGGATAAAATTTAGCTGTGCTTGGTGTAATAGAAGGATAGAACATGGATAGAATTTGGTTTAGTTTAGGTGCTACGAGAAGGTACCGTCGCAAATTAGAACCCAAGTACATGTTGCATTGTTGCATTGTGAAGGGTTGATGCTCGCAGATTAGAGTTCGACACCATTCAATCAAAGAGACCCACACAAATCTATTGGTTGTTGTCTAACCTTTAGATGCGGGTCTCTAATTCTTAACATTCTTTGATTAAAACTTTAATAGTATTCAAAGTTTGATTAAAGTCATTTCACTTTGTACACCTCGTTATATTACTATTAATATTTATATTTTTATAGTTTTGACATTAATTATTTGATATTTTATGAGATTTATAATCATATAAATTTAAAATCCATCATTATAATACTATTAGAAATGGTTACAATAAAAAAATTCAAACATTTTGATTTAATAAATGGATAAAAACTATGTAAAAATAAGAAATAATAAATGGCAAAAGAATGTATCCATAGTGTTAAAAAAAATTGGTACCTTTTAAGAAAAAATAGGTACATTTCACATATAACAAAGTGGTACATTAATAAAGAAGAATGGGTACATTATAAATAAATTAGGGTGCATATAAAAGATTAAAAAATTATGAGTACAAATGAATTTTTAAAAAATATAGGTGCTAAAAGAAATTAATAAATGGGTACAAAATAAAACTAAAAAGAAAATACTACAAATTTTAAAAAAATGTTGGAAATTAAAAGTGGGTACAAACTAAAAACATAAATATATGATACAAAGTTTAGGCATAAAACATAAATATACCATATGTAATTTTTCTATCATTGATTAAATATATAATATCATGTGACGGTATACACATGGGACAAACACAAATAAAACTTTAAGAAATTGGGCACAAAAAGAAACTAATATATGGGTACAAATTAAAAATGAAAAGAAAATTGGTTCAAATTAAAAAATATTTACAATTAAAAATAGGTACAAACTAAAAATAAAAATATATGATAAAAAATTTAGTCATAAATATAAACATACTAATTGTAACATTTTTAACACTAAATGAATATATTTAAAAATAAAAATATTTAATTATTCAAATAATTAATGATATTATTAATACCCAATGATCTTGATCAAAATTTGAAAATGAATAGGATTTTAATCAACGGAATAAAAAAAAGAAGGATGTGAACCTAATTTTCCCTTGTCTAAATCTTCCATGTTTTTGGTACTTGCAGCAACCGAGGCCTATTGCTTGTTCTTCTTGCAACTCAAATGGTCATACTGAGTGCAAATGGTGTGCGGGTACAGGCTTCTTTATTCTCGGCGATAACATGCTTTGCCAAGTCTCTCCGAAAAGTACAACTTGTGTTATTTGTACCGGAAAGGTAACTCAAATTGCCAAAGTCAGTGATTCTTACTATCGTCTTCAATTTCCGATATGCATTTGGATTTTCTGCTATAAATAGTACATAACAAAAACGCGTCTCATGTTTCTCCATGTCTCTAGGGTTCAATGCGTTGTTCCGACTGTAAAGGAACGGGCTTTCGTGCCAAGTGGTTAGGACAACCACCTATTTCCAAGTAGCCGCCTACTCTCGGTAAGCTTCAACCGTAGGAGCTACTACACAAATTGTAGTAACATCTTAATCATGTTGTAACAGTTCTTCGTTTCTCAAGTTTTGAAAGTTGCTTATTCTTTAAATTGTGTAGTTAAATCAGCCCACAGAGCATCACCCTTAACTAGTTTGCCTCATTCATCTTAGTTTTTGGAATGTAAAACTATCGTTGCCTCGACTGGTTCTGTTATCAAATTGATTTATTGTTAGAAATATGGATACGAAGTTTTGCTCGCCATCATCGATTCTGTGTTTAATGCTGATTTACTGTCGCAGTATCAAGTATCCAATACAATGCATATTCATATTCAAACAGAACGTATTCAGATACACACATGAACATCACTGAACAAGACCAGTTGCCTTAGACTATAGCCGAAAAGAGCAACTGATTGATATCCTCCGAATCCGAATCGCGATTCTCATCCCCTGCACAAACAAAGCTTTGTCAAGATACTTTCGAAACTCCATATAAACCTACTGCTGACTTTACATTCTAAACCGTAAACCATGGAGTCACCATCAACGAAAGGCATTCCTTCTCGAGTTTTTGCATCTCTTCGAAAACAATGTTTCGTTGCAATAGCAAGCCCGAGCATGACATGCTCTTTTGCACCAAAAGAAGGAAATAAAATCAAAACAAAGCCTAAAAGTGGCCACTAACTACCAACATAATTGACAAATCCATAGTTCAAAAGTTGAACAGCAACACAAGACATGGAGAATTTCCTTCTGTTCCTTATTCTATAGAAAAAATATGACCAATTTTGATACCCCTTCCCTAATTTACCGCTAAGTCATACAATAGGTAGCCTAATTTGATATCGAATTCGTCGTTCACGAGATTCGAACCTAAGACCTATCACTTTCAAATAAAGAGAAATACCCCAGACCGTAGTACCGAGAGACGGCAGTAATTAGACAGCAGTAATTACAGTGTTAACGGTAAGAGTTTACCTGTTTTTGATCTGACTTGAGCCGTCCACTCATCAATGACCTGCATAAAAGATCAATATGGTCACAAGCTTATGTTCTAAATAAGACCGGAAAATGTAAGAAAGGTGAAGCGGCTGAGAATGTAGCAAGGCATAATGCTGCTGCTTTATCCGAAGAACAAAGCTACCCGCCACAGGATATCTTTGGACGGGCATTTCTTCAGAAACATTGCCTAGCAATAGTATTTAATCTTGGTTGCTTGCTGGAAAATGGTGCAAACACTCGAACACCATCTGGAAAACTAGCCAACCGTTCACATAGGTACCACTAACAACAACAAACAACACAAATACCAAAAAATTAACCTGGTTGAAGTTAGCAAAAGCAGAATCATCCGAATCAGCGTCGGCGAAAACTCCCATCGACGTCTCCATCCGCTGCAACTGATTTCTGTTCCCAACCAGAGTCGTCCTCGCCTTATCAATCAAATCCTTCAAAACCCAAAACCCAAAACCCAAAAATCAAAATCGAAAACTAAAAATTTCCCAATTTCAGCTGAAATTTTTTGAAAATGACCTGTTTGGCAGAGAGAAGTTGGCGGCAGTGATCTTCCAATGTCGACAATTCTTCTTGAATCTTCTTTATCCTCGAAACCAGCTTCATCGGGTTCGCATTGTCCGGGTAGATTTGCTGGAACTCCCTCTCGAGCCGGTGCTGAACCACCGTCAGATCGTGGTTCGCTTTCGTCAGCAGCTTCACCAAGCCGTCCGTCGCTTCGTGGTGTTCGCTTACGTGTCCCATCTCCTCAGAGCTTCACCCTCTCTCTCCTAGGGTTTTCTGCCCACTAGTAATGGGCGGTTTTGAATTTTGCTTTTGCAGAAATGGGCCGAATTTCAGGCCCATTTATAAATAGCTGTACAGTAGAGGCCCAATTGCTTCCAGGATGATGGCCGACATGGGTGGGTTACCTTGAAGCAATCTCTTGATCATCTAAAGCTGATTTTAGCAAAAGCCGCGTAGATTCGGAAAAGTAGATGCTATTTGCTTTCCTAGAATGACCGTTAACCTTTTAAGGACAAATATTACTATAAGTGCTTTGACCATCTTTTATCAGTTCATTCAAAAAGCTTTACATGTGCTTCTCCAAGAAGAACTTCCAAAGTATTTTTCACATCAAAGTGCTTTTCATCTAAAACTGATTTTCACATTTCTACATACGCGGTAAAAAAAAAAAAAAAACTTGTTATTATCTGAAAACACTTTTAACCACAAGTGTATGGTGTCACTTGTAAAAAACCAAACAGGTTACCTCATGCCATTTGACACTTGAACTTGATGCGGTGGGGTTTGGATTTCATTCAAACCAGAGTAAAAAGGACCAAGATTGTCTCTCATCCTACTTTCCGTCCCCCTCCATCCCCTCTTATTTTTCAGCCATTGGTTTCATGACAAATTAATTTAATGCTCCAGATTCTGCCACCTCACCTACAGCTCCAAAGCATCTTTAAAGCTCAATTTTCCAGACTTTTTATGCTGCATTTCCCGCCCCCTCCCATCTGCTTTTAAGATGCCTTTGTTTCTGATAAGCATTTTACATTGCTCTGTTTTATATCAGGTTTTGATGCTAAGACAAAAGTAAGAGTGCCTTGGTTGGAAAATGAGATTTCATGCCAACACATGCTTACATTACAAGCGCAACTTTTCTGCAAATTCAAAATTAATAAGCACAGAATATGTAGATTCAAAATCACACACAAAAAATTCGTTTTGCAGAAACCAACCGGATCCAAAACTATCTAACTCAATAACTTTGCCTACAATCTCTTGTACTTTACGATAGAAGCAAAATTTTCAATTAAGCCTTTGGTAATGCAGACTCAAGAATGTCCAAGATAACTGTAAGTTGGCTTTCTGCAATCTCTATGCATGGCATAGCTGCTTCTGCAATAACAATAAGTTGGCTTCCTCTCTTCATCTCCAGTGGTCACCGCGTACATTCAAATTCAAAGCCTACAAAAGTTTTTTAAGGATACAAATGAAATTATACCATGGCATTAGATGCTTTAAGGATAACAAAAGCAATAAAAATATATGAAATATATCAGAAAGCTTTACTTGACTATGCGTGGTATTAGATGCTTGAAATTTCTTGGTGTGCAAAGGAATAACCAGTGGGATTTGTTCCGTGTACTGGTCCGTTATTTCCAACGGTCGGATCAAGATGCAACGGCCCACATGCTCATCTAAACCCAAACAACCAAAAAGATTCCCACCTTTTTTCTTGAAGAAACAGATACAGACCCCTCCAGTTTCTGCTTCCTTCTCCTCCAAGAAACACTAGCTAAACTGTGGCACACGCTTTAAACCTCCACCTTCAAAACCCTCTCTCTCTCTCTCACTCACTCTCTCTACCTTACTCTCAGTAATCACAGTGTAAGTTTTCTCTCTCTAAATCACACTATGGGAGAAAAAGCTATGGAAGTCCACTCCTCGGCGACCACTCCAAGACCTTCAATGACGTTTGGCTCGTCGCTAATTCCGATGATCAACAAGCTCCAGGACATTCTCGCGCCGGTGGGCAGCGATAGGCCGCAGATTTCGCTGCCTCAAGTGGCGGTCGTGGGAAGCCAGAGCAGCGGGAAATCGAGCGTCCTCGAAGCCCTCGTTGGCCGCGACTTCCTCCCCCGCGGCCGTGACATCTGCACTCGGCGGCCGCTCGTGCTGATGCTCGAGAATCGCGCGGCGGTGCCCGGTGATGAACACACCGAATGGGGCGAGTTCCGCCACTTGCCCGGAAAACGCTTCTACGACTTCTCCGCAATCCGCCACGAAATTCAGGTACGGATTGAGCTTCTTCTTCATCAATGCTGCTTCTAGTTTACTGGCTTGTGATAAATTGACCATTGTTTTGTCAGCGCAGGCGGAGACGGATAGGGAGGCCGGATTGAACAAAAGGGTTTCGGATAAGCAAATCCGGCTGAAGATTATCTCTCCGAATGTGCTTAATATGACTCTGGTTGATTTGCCTGGAATCACGAAAGTTCCGGTGGGAGATCAACCAAGAGACATAGAAGCAATGGTTAGGAAGATGATTATGGGCTATATTATCCAGCAAAACTGTATTATATTAGCGGTTAGTCCTGCGAATTCGGATTTGGCAACCTCCGATGCACTACAGATGGCTAGAGAAGCTGACGCGACTGGTACCTGCACTTTTACTTATGAATTCGACTTTTACATCGAATGCATAGTGTACTGACGCAAATGTATTAACAGGTTTTCGAACAATCGGTGTGATCACCAAGGTTTGTGATCTCCTCTTAAGACTCCGGTTTATTAGATGCCTCAGTTGTTGCATAATATGACAATATTGTTCTATCTGTAGCTTGATATAATGGACAGGGGCACCGATGCTCTTGACTTTTTGCTTGGGAAAATTATTCCGCTGCAGCTCGGTTATGTTGGTGTTGTGAATCGTAGCCAGGAGGTATGAATTGTTCAAATAGCTTCTTTGTAGCATCCATTTGTTTTGTTTAGTACATTGCCAAGTTTTACTCTTACAAAAGAAAATGTGGGTGCAGCGTTCAGGCTCTATTACTTAAGTGTTATTCTTGTGACACAGGACATCAATAGAAACTGTGGGATTGCTGCTGCCCTTGCTTACGAGGAGAAATTCTTCAATAGGCACCTTGTACTGTTCGCTTTCTTTGTATTTAGAGAAAAATGATAATTGTTTGTGTTGGCACTTAACATCTTTATTACATGTTAAAGGTATATAGTAAACTCTTGGATCATTGCGGCATGCCCCAGTTAGCAAGGAAGTTGAATCAGGTTGGTATGAACCAAAGGCATAACAAAGTTATACTAACGGGAAATGAAATTCTTAGGTGGTTATGTATCATTTTTTTATATATTATTGCGTACTCTATTTGTTTTTGCACTGTTGTCATGGTCGATTTCTGTGTTAGATTCTGGAGCAGCATATCAGAAGGGTTCTCCCTGATTTGAAGGCTCGGTTGAATTCTCAAATGGTTTCTGTTTTGAAAGAATTGCAAGCATATGGGCTACCTTTAGAATCTAAAGTGAGTTGCAAAACAACTTATGAGCTGCTGGTGTTTTCTACTGCATTTAATGCATGCAGAGAGTTAGAAAACAACTGTTCCCTACATACTGTTGAATTGTTGCATTCACATCCAAATTACATACTGTTGAATTGTTGCATTCACATCCAAACACTATGTCCAAGTCCAATGCGCATTTGCGTCATCATTTTTTCTTAATCACATTGGCAGGACCCTTGTCCTCTTCTTTTTTATTTTTATTTTTATTCATGACCAGTCTATAAAGATATTTTGCTAGATAGTGTTGACTGTGCACCATGATGGAAGACTTGTACTTTTGATCTTAGTAAGTAATTGGGATTTTGTTGTTATTGGTTTGAAAACTTGAAATTGCTGCTGCACATAGCGAAGTGCATAGACAGATGCATTCACATTAAAAAACTTACCCCTCTTCCTTTCTCTTGTTATTGGAATAGATAATATACTCTTCACATTTTAGTTGTTTCTAACCATTTTTTGTCACTTGTCCTGAACCAGATGGATCAGGGAATGATTTTGTTGAACATTTTGACAAAATATTGTGAAGGTGAGATTTCGATCTGTGTTATTTGTTAAATGTCAATCTTTTACTTGCCTGCATGACTTGGAATCATGTATGATATTCCTCAAAGGACCACTTAATTTATCTTTCTTAGATTTGTTAGTGCTGTTTTTTCCCAAGAATTGGATTTGTATTTGTCATAGAGAGAGAGTATTGTATTACATTAGCCCACTTCTCGAAGAGGATTTAGTAGTGAAAGCTATCAGGCGTTTCTGTGACTGGTTATGAAGCGTGTGATAGTGAAAGAAATTCCTGCAATGGGGTTGGGGTGCAGTAGAGCTGGAAGGAAATCCACCCAATCCAATTTGCATGAGTGAGAAATACTGTAAACTTGATTTCTCTAATTTTTTTTTTCTCTCAGACTAAGTTAATATTACCGCTTACCTTATCATATGAACTTTACTGACCTGAGAAACTATGCGTTTGTGGAAAATAACAATGATGTCAAATGGACTTAACCATGTGGAAAGCCTTTCTCTAAAGTCTTGTAGTCTTCTTTAATTTTTGTAATCATGGTTTTTATGATTCTAAGCAACTTGTTTTTAGGACATTTATACTAATAGAGCATGCTGTTCAAGTACTACCTTGTTTGTCGTTATTTTCATCTTAGCTGTTTTCACTGATGCTGTTAATGTTCCTTCTCTCTCCCTCTCTCTCTCTCTCTCTCTCTCTCTCTGTTTCACTAATGGACAGCTTATGCTGCCATGGTGGAGGGAAAAAGTCAGGAGATGTCAACAAAAGAATTGTCAGGAGGAGCCAGGATCCACTACATTCTCCAGTCAATTTTTGTAAAAAGCTTGGAGGTACAATGCACTATAATTTTTTCTAAACATGCAATTTCTTTAATGACCTTTGTTAATTGTTTATCTTGCTTTCGTCCTTTTGGTACGTTTTAATCTAAAACCATAGACTACTATGTCGTCAGTTGCTGTCTTCTGCATATTTGTTTGGTGTCAGCATACCGTGAAATTTGTCTTGAAGAAAACCATAGTCTTATGTATAACATTTTCAAGGCACCGAGTTGTAGAACTAATGTTCCAGTGTAAGACATGTACCATCAGATTGGCTATACTAACTCTCAGGAATTGTAGGGTGTGGACCCCTCCGACGATCTAACTGATGATGATATTCGAACGGCTATTCAAAATGCTTCTGGTGCAAAAAATGCTCTATTTGTGCCTGAGGTGAGTATAATGATGATTACATGCTGTAGTTTTGCATTTTCCCTAGTATAACGCCGATGCCTTTGGTTCTACTCAGCATTGCCTGATATGTTTTTGAATTATTGTTAGGTCCCATTTGAAATTTTAGTAAGAAGACAAATTGCTCGATTGCTAGACCCAAGCTGTCAGTGTCTGCGTTTTGTTTACGATGAACTAGTTAAGGTGAGATATGATTTATGCACCTGTGGTGCTTATGGAATTCTTATAGTATGTCCATGAATCCTGAGGTGTAAGTATAATCAGGAAGATATAATTTCCCCTGCAGATAAGCCACGATTGCGCGGTTATTGAGTTGCAAAGGTTTCCAGTTTTGAGAAAGCATATGGATGAAATCATGATCAACTTTTTGCGGGAAGGTGTAAAGCCTGCTCAGAGAATGATAGAAAATCTTATTGAGATGGAGGTATGTCTTTGTTAACCTTGTTAAATTAAAACTAAAGTTTATTCACTAAAAATTTAAATCAAGGCTGACATGTATGTACAGCTTTTGTTAAAATGATTTCATGGACTCTCAAAATAGTGTTAAAATACCGGAATATTCTAAAATCTAATCAAATTGAGTTGGCAATAGTAACTGGTAAAACAAAAAAAGGCACCTTCCTCAACCCTTTGAAAAAATTGTGATTCTAACATTTTGGCAGTACAGTAAATTTTCAACTCTGCAGTGTATGGTATCCTATATTTTTCTCAACCCTTAATTTCGCTTTTGGGTGGTTCTTACTACCAATGGTGTGTTCAATTCAACGTGACACTCTTGAAATGAAAATGGCCAATTCTTAGATCTGTTGGTCATATCACACAAAATTGTGCTCAGTACTTATCTCTTCACTGATAATATATGTTTTCTTTTAAGTAATTGCTCAGATTTACATGCTATGGTTTTATCTCTTTCACATTTACTCAAATGCTGATTGCCCAACTTTCTTTCATTCAGGTGGATTGTATAAACACATCGCATCCATGTTTTATAGGTGGGAAGAAAGCTTCTGAGCTTGCTATGCAAGAGTTGAAAGCACAACAGGTATCTTCTACAACATTGGTGAATGATAATTTTAGACATGATGAAGCAGTCCTGAATCCTGATCATGTGTTGGATTCATAGCAAATATATTGTCATGAACTTTCAGTTTCTTTAATCTTGCAGTCCTATGTTTTATTTTTATTACAGAAGTCCCTTCATATTACCCAAAGTCAATTATGAATTTGAAATCTCGGTTTGATATGATCTGAGAGATCAGAAAAGGAAAATATACAGTGGTGGCTTTATTTTTTATTGACAGTCTATGGAGATTTCTGTTTAGTGTATTTTTCGTTCTTATTTTGAGAAAGGAAAAAGTTATTGGGATTTGGTTCTTCATTCTCATTGAGAGAACTTTTTGTATGATCTCTGTTGATGCACAAAACCGGAGGTCTTGGACCAACGTAAATCCGACCGTGAATCTGCAAGTAATGTAAATGACACAAGATGTATCATGGTTAACCCCAAGGTTTGGGCTACGTCCACACTGATTGTATTATATTTCTCTAAGAAGTGAGGGAGAGAGAGCTCTGAGAGTGAGAGCTTTGAGAGGGATGAGGAGAGACCCCCCCTTTGTGAGGGTGAGGAGGCCCTTTTATAGAATAAGGGCTCCTTCCCTAATTACATATTTGCCCCTTCCTTTATTACATAATTACATTTAAGTCCCCCGAGTATTTATACGAGGTCTAAATACGAGGCACTAAATATGGTATAAACAATCTCTATCATCAAGTTCATATCAATAGATTTAGAGTGGTTGCATGCTATATTCCTTCTTTTAGGGTAACACAATTTATTCTTTATTGTCTTTGCACTATTATTCAACCCAATCATCATTAGATCTCATATAAAAGGGTTTGTCAATTATCTGGTTTACCTCAAAGTTGTTCTTGTATGTTTCATGGTGTTACGGATGTTGAAGGCCAGACATCTATAACTGTTCAGGCTAAGACAGTTATGAATGGAATTTTACCTTACCAAGTATGCTGTTCAGTTTTAGTTGACAATATTACAGGAGTGAAACTGGGTATTCCAAACAAAAAGAGAAGGGAAAGACAAAAGGTGGGGAAAATCCCCAGAACCAATAGGAGCGAAGATTTCATAGTCCAAGCAGGACAAAGTGCGGCCTCTAAGAAATTGGAGGTCCTCGCTTACTCTTTGGGGCCCTATGACCTGAATTTTTATGATCTTCCTTTAGCCTAGCTACTTTTTGGTGTTCAATTTCCATTAACCTAGCTAATGGGGCAAGTGTGATATTGGAAGGGGCTGAGGTTGTTGAACCTGGTAGAGACAAAAGCTGGGGCGACCACATAGTGCTAGAATGAAGAAAAGATCTGCTCCTCTTTAGTTTTTTAGCACAAGAAAATATGCCGTATTCTAGTTCCTTCTCTACCCTGAAATTTATCAGATTTGGATTGTTTGTGAAGAAAACTCTGGTTACGAGCAGTGTTTTCCTTTTAAATCAGTTTTCAAGTTGGCTAAAAGTTAATTTGCGAATCCAAGTTAATGGGGGTAAACTTAGATTTGTGAAAGCTAGTTTGGAGGGCCTTACTACTTTTGGCTATCTTTTTTCTTTCATAGGATGCCTTCGATCTTAATATAGTTTTTTTGTTTGGCAGGGAAGTCGTCCTCAGCTGAATAAAGAGAATCCTGTATCTTCTGGTAAACTCATATCTACTATATCCAAGCATTCTGCTACCTTCGGGATATTGAAACTGCTTGATTTTGTTAACATGTTTCTTGTGCGTATGTGTGTGTGTGTATGTGTATGTGATGGTATGTATATCTATTAATCTGCCATTGCTAAGTTCAATGAATTTTGTTAACAGGTTCTACGAAGACTTGGGGTATTCCATCTGTATTTGGGAATAGGACATCAGCTGCACAGTCTGGTACACCTTTTGGTGAACAACGTCATTCAGAGTCAATGCCCTCCACAATCAATTTGAGAGAGGTACATCTGTGGTTCACAGAATTTTATTTCTTTACAACTTATTATCTACTTATTCATTTTAGAATTTAAATGTGACCCCTTTGTTTTTCCCTCTGTCCTCGCTGATTTCAGCCACCATCCATCTTAAGGCCAGTTGAAACGACAGAAAATGAAGCAGCGGAAATTATTGTAACCAAATCACTGTTGAAATCCTATTATGACATTGTCAGAAAGAACATTCAAGACCTAGTTCCAAAAGCTATAATGCACTTTCTGGTATACCTATTTTCTTTTTTTTTTCTTTTCAATATGTTAATAATTATATTACGGTTACTATGAAGTACATTAACATGTATCGTTCTTACTGTGGCATAGGTCAACTCTACGATAAAAAACCTTCAAACGGGCTTTATTCAAAAACTGTACAGGTATGTGACGTATGCTGTTGTTGAAAAGCGGGAATACAGTCCTTTTTCAGGCCATCATACGACATTTTTAGTCTTTATTATGACTATGTGAAAGACACGGACTACATTTGTAACACAAATAAAAGCACTGCATTACCGGCATGACTTCTGTGAATTACTCGATATCCTGCATGAATGTGTTTCTGTTGGTTTTGCTGCATATTGTTGATTGGAACTTCGAGGGTGATTTGCTCACGCTAATTATGCAGAGAGAACCTGTTTGAAGAACTGCTGAAGGAGCATGATGAACTTGATTCAAAAAGAAAATGTGACCAAAAGTTGTACGAGGTTTTGAAGCAATCCCTTCAGGTAGTTTTAAACTTTTAATGTTTGAGCAGTAAATGCCTGCTTTCCATGCCTTCTTTTTGCCTTGGTTCTATGTTTTTCATGGACCCAAAATTCACAAAGAAAGGCTCTTGGAAGCCTCATTGAGTAATCCCCTGTTGAGTTCTCTTAATTTGTATAGTTTTACTCCTAGGATTTCATAAATTGTATGTTATTATGTAGAAATTCTTGTTGGTTTTCTTTTCCAATGAGTAAACTTGAACTGTTTGCTTGATCTAGACACTCGAGAAGGTCGAATTTGATGTTTCAACCCAAACTTAAAGTATTGGCACTGATTTTTCGGTTGGACCGTCAAGGATTCCGAGTACTTTGCCCCATCTGCACAAAACATCTGAGGTGAGCCAGTTCACACACCATTCGTTTTCCATGCCATACACGACCGACACCACAGCTTGAAGATCATTTCGACGAGAAAATCAGGCATTGTCCACATGGGTTTGATATCAAATATACTAGTATTATGGTGGTCCATTAAGCGATTAGCATTAGTGATTACCAGGTTGTAGGCGTCCTCCTCCTGTATCATTTTTTTGCATATGGAATGAATAAGTTGTATGATGATTAAAGAGTCGGTTCAAAATACATGAGTTGTATGCGCAGGGAGTTTTGATCGGTGCTGCAAGAGTTTCGGTTTTAAAAACGTTTTTCTTTAACTAGTGAAAAATGGGTGTGAGTATATACTGTATATTTTGCAAGCAAGGTATACAAGATAACGAAACTATCTGATAACGCAGATGCGAGTTAGGCCACTCGGCCATGATAGTTTTGAGAAAGCCACAACAAGGGTTGGATCTTAAGCTTCCAATGAGAATCCAAACGTATAAAAAGTACAAATTTATAATTTCAAATCGTCTTCCCGGCAGCTCACAATCTCCTATGCGTCCTTATGAAGTTTGTTGTGTTCAATGCCACCGCGTACGAGCATGCATAAACCCCAGCAGAGCTGATTGCTGCTGAGACTAATAGAATGGCCTTCCACTGCCTGCCTGAGACAAGAATTGCCAATGCAGCAAATGCAACAGCAACAGCAGTGAGGCCCTTTTGCCATGCTTGGAAAGCTTTGACAACGCCGCTGCAGATTTTGCAGTGAACCACGTGCCGGAAATACCGGTTGGCCAAGTTTGGAGCGTGCATGGATCCAATGCCTCCCTTTGCCGGGAAAGATGCAGAAGCGCCGGCTACAAGTCCGGCTGGTGCGTGTTCCACAACAGCCGGTTCTTTGGGCAACGTGATTGTGCTGTGTCCGAAATGGTAAGGCATTCCATGCCCTACTTTGTCCATCCATTTTCGATATTCAGCCACCCAAGTATCTGAAGATTTCAGGTTAAGGTACAGCTCTTTGGTGGGTACTTTTTCCTTCATGAGTATCTCGTTCTGCGACGAAAGAAATCCCATATCTTGCTCGAAAACCTTGCCTGCATTCTGATGAAAGTACCATTTCGGAAACAGTTTCGCGACCGGGGACCTTTTTGTTCCACCAAATCTCACAATGAGCATAGACTTCCCTTGTCCAGTTGGTCTGCAAAGAAATAGACCCGAAAAGTAGTGTTTTTCCCCAGTTTTTTCATCAACAATTTCCCTGTTGTTTTGAAGAGAACATGGTGCCTCAAACCTCAAGAAGCTTTTCGCCGATGGATCAGTTGCCTTGCCCCACCAGCCTGCGAATCCTCGATCAGTTCGTTCGGTGACCTCAAAACACAATGGTTGAGCATCTTCCCTTTTCGCACTCCAATCCGTCCTGTCATGTGAGATTGGAACATGGGCAGGATCCATGAGATTCTCCAGAAGTATGGAGTGATCATAAGGGAGCTCATGAGTCGTTGAAGTGTCTTGAAACCCCGGCCGAGCGAAGTTCTCAAACCATGGAATCTTAGCCGGGTTTGGTGGTGTCTTGTGAGACATCCAAACCCACACAACCCCTTGTGAGTCCCTCACCTCGTATGTTTTCGCGCAAGCTGATTTCGGAATTTTCGCATCTGTTGGAAGCTGTAGTACAAAAACATAATTAGGCATTCAACATAGTTAACAGACACTGATTCAAGAGTCTCTATCACTACGAAGGTATCCCAGATAATCACGAATTGCCATGTTTTTTTATTTTCTCAAAAAAACAGTGCGTAATTAGCTCGAGATACTATCAGATTCACAGTAGCATCTCGTCCTTGTTAGTGCGTGAACAAAAGGCGAGAGACACAGACCTGAGGAATCTTTACACATTTTCCTTGGCCTTCAAATTGCCAACCATGATACAAACATTCCAACCTTCCATCAATCAGCTGCCCTTCCGATAGTTTCGCCAACCTAGCTAAGAGTGGATTGTCATGATTCACAAGTCATGACTAGTTAGTAAGATATTACAACGCTAACGACTTTTAAACATTTAAATGAAAAAACGTTACAACATAAACATGCACACTAGCTCTCCGAACTTAACCAGTTAGTAAGTTAATACAACACTAACAACTATTTTGGACTCTAAATTAGCCACTTGAACTTCAAATATCTAGAAGAATCTAGAATCAAAAGACACAGTTACCTGTGGGGGCAGCGATCCTGGTAGCACTGGAGCTCTCCATTGCCGTCCCTATAGAGCACAAGCTGCTTATCAAACACCGTGAGACCCAGAGGAGCATCTTCCGGAATGTCCTGGGTGAGGTACAGAGGGTACCATTCCTCCGTCCAATCATAATCCGCCGCTACCCTCTCTCCCCTCCTCTCCGCCTCGGTGGTTGGACCCACCAGTACCTTGTGATCCTCCTGATCCTCATCAAGTGGCGGAGAAGCGGCAGGAGGAGGTTTGGTGTCTGCAACTGCAGCACACTTGATGCTGCTGAAGCTCATCTTTCTGGAAGGAATGAAGGGTCGGGGATGGGTTGGTGGGGAGAGAGATAAGAGGAGTTTGAGCGGCTGTGGTTTCTTGGGGGTTTGGGGGAGGTGGAGGGAGGTGGAATGGGAGAAGAGGGGGTGGAACAAAGCCATGTTTGATTGAGTTGGGGAGGAAACAAGATGGTGACATGGAAATAAAAGGAAGAGGGGGAAGGCCAAGGAGGAAATAAAGCCATGTGAATATGTGAGTCTAGAGAGAGAGAGAGAGAGAGAGAGAGAGGAGTGAGAGAGTGAAACTGTATTGGGGGTTGCTTATGTGCTTGTTGCACTTATGTTAGCCACATAATGTTTGGAGTTTGGTCAGTCAACAAGAAATAGTGCTAAGACTGATTAAGTTTCACACGTACACATTTCCCCCTTAGGTACTAAACATCATTTACAATAGTAAAACAAACCCTATTTCAAGTGTGTGAAAAGATATTAGGCATGTTTAACTGAGTAAGACAACTCTTATACTGAGTGGAATTAATTGATTGTAGATCACTTGAGGTCATCGAGTGGAAGTGGAACCATAATACACGAGGCTCATGCTTTTGTGAGAGGTGACTGGAGATGACTAGGTCAGTGAACTTCAACACCAATTTACTCCTTATGTGATAAACAGAAAATCGAATGTGGCAACCCATATACTTTCAAACACTACTTTTATCTCCTCGATGAGCTCGGGATACCGTTACTATGTAGTTGCAAATAATATGGATATAAAAGGAACTCATTGTAAATTTACAAGGAAAAGTTTATTGGGCTTGAAATTTTTTGGATTTATGTAAACAATGAACAAATTTACGATATCATCAACTGGCCTATTAGCTCAGCTGGTTAGAGCGTCGTGCTAATAACGCGAAGGTCACAGGTTCGAGACCTGTATGGGCCATTTCCCTTTTTCCTCTCCCTCATTTTTTTTGTCGTTTCTCTCCCTCCGCACGTCCTCGGCGGTACCGAGTCCTCGGCGGTACAGCGCGGCGGTGTTCGTTCCTCCTCTCCTTTTTCTGCTGGTTCTGGTGGGCCCAACCAGGAGCTTTTCTTCTTCCTTGTTCCTTTTGGTTAAGTGGAAATGGAGGTACGGATTAGGTTGATGAATGATGACTGCTCACAATTTGAAAACGAGAATTGGTGGGTGGGTTGGTGTTTGTTTATTCCCGATGGATAGAAAAGCAATTTTACACTGACTGGTTGCCTTCTTTTTCAAAGTCCCACTTCAAATTGCAGATGATGAATTACAAGAATTTGAACGTAGAAGAAACGTTCTAGTCAATTTGATTACGCCCGAGTCGACTATCAATTGATTTATTTGTTCCTCAACTCTACATGTATCTTTCCATAAAAAAATTCATGCTTACTCACATTTTTCCGATTCTACTTGTTAATAAAACAAAAAAAGTGAAATGAGTTTCATACTCTATGTTTTAATAAACGCATAGGATTTAAGAATCAAAATCATTCAAATTCCTTCTACGTATAACAAAACATCAGGTACTCAATAACCTCAATGTTAATCATCTACTTGAAATCGTTATATATATACAAATCAATAACATCATTAGCGTGGTCTGATCAGAATACAACTTCATCAATCAAAATATCTCCAGAACGTCCTGCACGAATGGTAAGAAGTTTGATATTATGATGATTTTTGTAGAACAATGCCAAAGTGATTAAAAATCAAGAATAGTTTAAGATTTTTGTGAAAACACAATTGTTATAATTTCGTGTTATCTTTTTCGTATGCGTTAATGGCGCGTTTACTAATCCGTAATCAAATTGAGAGGAATTGAATTGAGGAGGAATTGAAATGAGGCGGAATCAGAATCAGATTCCTGTTGAAATTGTTTACTAAAACTGTCTGGAATCAGAATAGAATTCCATAAAGCTGTTTACTAATTCAGCAGAATCGGAATATAAACCAGTATGATTACTAAAATGCCCTTGTCCCAAATCAAATATTTTATATACTTTTTTTAATAAAATTTGATATAGTATATAATAGTAAGAAAAATTAAATTACTTTTTTATTTCATAGACACACTAAAATAATTTTGTTAATTTTTTTTTTATAAATTTAAGTATTTACTTTAATATCTAAATTTAATATAATTACTAAAACACACTTTTTCATAAAAAATTATTTATGGTCTAATTTGTTTTTTCCATTATTTTGTTACTACTTAAATTATTCGTAATATAATTAAACTTTAATTAGTATAACCAAATAAAGAACCCAGCTGCACTCACCTTCCTTCCCCGCAAAAGAAAAAACCCAGCCGCATTCATCTTCCCTCCCCGCAGAAGAAAAAACCCAGAAACATGAGCCGGCGAGCGAGAAGCACATCCGTGATGTTGGCGTCATCGTCCGGAGCTACGTCCACGCGTGCGTGTTGGCGGTATCGAAGCGGCTGGACCATCGCCTCCTGAATGACGGCGATCCGGTGTTCGGGGACAAGATCTCGTATGCGACCCTCATATCTCCTGAACCTATCAGATTTCCAATTCCCTCACCCTACCAGATTTCAAGCTCGTGAGATTAATTTGTTGGGTTAAACGGGAGATTGATTGGAGGGCATAATAGGAAGAGCAAATGGATTCCCAATTCCCTCATCCTCCCGGAATTCAATTACCACATCGATGCAGGGAGTCCAATTCCTCCCATTTCAGGAATTGAATTCCACTTTTTGTGTGGGTCCCACGCACTGTTGATTCCTCACAATTAGTAAACACAGGTATGATCCGTAATCGGAATCGAACTCCATACTTCCATTCCGATTCCGGGTTAGTAAACACGCCCTAAGAGTGTTACAACCCATGCAGAACCAATGTTGCAAAATATTTTATTCCGACGGTAACTAAACTTGTTAATTTTTTGATAATATCGTTTGTTTAAAAAAAATATTATTAAGTTTTAATAACACAATAGTTAAATTGGCTAAATTGAAAACAGTATTCAAAAAGAATTTTAACCCTTAAGAAAGCGGCAACCAGTTCAATCTTCTGCTCTAAACGGCAGTATAGGGTTTGGGTTTCCCTCCATTCCAGTATTTGATTCCCTTTCGAGGATCACCGGCATCGGAATGAAGATTGCAGTCGAAGGTTGCATGCACGGCGACCTCGACAACGTCTACCGAACCCTCCAACACTACGAAAAGCTTCACGACACCACCATCGACCTCCTCCTCTGCTGCGGCGACTTTCAGGTACCCCCGCTCACTTTCCCAATTCCCCAATCACCCCTTCACTCATGCTTGCTTGCCCTAAATTTTTAATCTTCTATTTTTTCTGTACTCAATTTTTTCTGAACTTAGCGATTTTTAGTTGAATTAATTGTTCAATTTCCCAAATTTCGGCACTTGCAGTTCCGCTCTTGCTTCTTTGCCCTAAATTTTCAATCTTTCTGTTGGGGGTATTAATTGTTTATGAAGTTAGAGGATTTGATTCATCATGAGGGAAAACTATTGGTTTTGTGAAATTAGGCTGTGAGGAATGAGAAGGACTTGGATAGCTTAAATGTGCCTCACAAGTTCAGGAGCATGAACACATTCTGGAAGTATTATTCCGGGGAGGCAGTGGCTCCGTACCCGACCATATTCATCGGTGGGAATCACGAGGCTTCCAATTACTTGTGGGAACTGTGAGTCCCTTCTTTAACTTTAACTTATGGCATTCTCTTCCAATTGTTTTTGCTGTCGTTTTTATTTCCGCTTTGGATGAATAATTTGTTGCGGTTTTTTAACTTGTTTATGCTGTTTTATAGGTATTATGGAGGATGGGCAGCACCTAATATTTACTTCTTGGGGTTTGCTGGTGTAGTCAAGTTCGGAAACCTTCGGATTGGTGGACTCTCTGGAATTTATAAACAGCCCAATTTTCTAAAAGGTTAATTTGCTTTACTTTTGTACCGTTGTGGATGTTTAGTTCTTTGCTTATCTTTCGTTGATAAAACAATAGCTGTTTATGTTTTTCAATTAGTTGTAAGCATAGCTGTGGTATGTGCAATTTTGATATATGGTGTTAAAAGTTTAAACGGGGTTCATTTTTTCCCCTCCTGAGCAGGACACTTTGAGAGGCCTCCTTTTAATGATAGTACTATCAGGTCCGTGTATCATGTTCGTGAGTATGATTTCCACAAACTCATGCAAGTTGAGGAACCAATTGATATTTTTCTTTCGCATGATTGGCCTGTTGGTATCACGGATTGTGGGGACTGGAAGAAACTTGTTCAGCAAAAACCATATTTTAGGCAGGAGGTAAATGCAAGAATCGAAAATTAAGTTAGTAAGTTCAGATTGGTATGTTTTGAATCACTTATGTCGTTTAAAATGTCATTAGGTTCAAGAAAGAAAGCTTGGAAGTAAACCAGCTGCTCAATTGCTTGAAAAACTGAAACCACCTTATTGGTTTTCAGCTCATTTACACTGCAAATTTGCTGCTCGTGTTCAACATGGGGAAGATGGTCCAGTGACGAACTTTCTTGCTCTTGATAAGTGCCAACCTGGACGTAAATTTCTACAGGTATTTGATGTGTTTCCGAAAGTAGCATATAGGATGTTCCCTGTGGTCATTGTGGTAGTTAATGGTTCTATATGACATTTTTCTGGCATTGTAGGTTATTGAAATTGAATCAGAACCGGGCCCTTATGAGATTCAGTACGATGAAGAATGGCTAGAAATAACTCGGCGGTTTAACTCTATTTTCCCTCTCACTACCAGAAGTGCAAATCTTTGGTGTGTACATCTTTCGAAATGTATTGTGCATGCTACCAATGATCTGACAGTTAAACTTTATATCTCTTCCGTACTCTTTACCCTTTTAAGGGTTTGTCTCTTGTAAAGTAGCTACTGAGTGTGTATGTTAATATTGTAGGAATGTACGTCTTGACAAACAAGAATGTCGTCAGTGGGTCAGGAGCAAGTTACAAGCAAGAGGGGCCAGACCCTTTGAATTCACTCAGACAGTTCCACCATACAATCCCTCTCAATCTGTCACTTATGGTTCCTTCCCTGGTAAGGATCAACGTCATTTAGAATGCTGTTAAAACAAGAACATTTTATGTACATACTACAATACTACAAATTTCTTTTTGGCAGGACACGTTCGGAGTCCTCAGACAGAATCTCTATTGCAGTTTCTGGAACTTCCTTACCTTCTTGATAACGTGTCACAATCATCCGAAGTACTCCCAAGTCCTCCTAGAGGTAAAAATTTGTTCTCTCGGCTCATAAAGTGAGGGTTTCTTATGTCAGTTGTGTGGTAAATTTTGCTGAGTGTTTTTTTTTATTTAACAAATCTTTTCCTTTTTCAAGCTTCGAACTAATTGCAAATCTTTCCGCAGGTTCTGTTGAAGAGAACAGTGAAGACATTCCCATTGATGATGTGGATGAGTTGGAAGAAGATGCTGTGGATTGCGAAAACGAAAATTCATGAAAACTCCTACAGTTTTACTGCTTCTCAGGCATCTATCTTTTGTCAGTTTCAAAATATTTGGGGTAATCAATGCCGTTAGGCTCTCAGTTGAGGTTTATTGATTCGAATTTTATGCATAAGCTTCGATGCTCTATCAGGTCGGCCTGGCCTCATCTGTCATCCCCCACATCCCCACTCTGCCCTGTTTTCTCGTTCTTTTCATGAGTTTTTTTCCCTTTTTTTAGGCCTGTTGTAAAATATCTTTTATTCAGTGTCTAATTTTTGTAGGAGTAAGCGAATCGTTTGCTACATTGACCCATGGGATCAAGAAATGTACCGACTTTTCTTTTCTATCGGAAAGTAGATATTTTGACTTGTAAGACAATATCTTCAGTGTGTTTTAGGATGTTTGTGGCTTTGTTATTGTTAATTAGCTTTAGGGATTCATTTCGCCTCAATTTGATATCCCTCTCGAGCAAAATCTTGGGTATAACCGGTGATATATTAGTCTGTTTATCCCACACAAGGCGCAACCACACTTCCTCTTGTTTGTGTCTTTGGCGGACAGGCGGCCATACCAAAAAATTATCCGTTGCAAGGAAATTCTTCTTTGAAAGGACACTTTCAAGAGTACGAACAAAAATTGAGGTTGAGTCATTAATATCTGCATTATAAAAGCGATTTAAAGGTAGACAACACGAAAGACACGTAGCTTAAGTTGTCATGAAATGAGCCAACAATGTATGTTAGACTGTTAGTTTCAACCATTCGGTCTTTGTAACGGATATTAATCGCTTCGACATTTCAGGAGCTCACACTGTCGGATCAGCTCGCTGCAGCGCATTCAGTTACCGGTTCAAGCAAGACCCCAAAGGAAAATTCACACTCATTGATACATCCTTAGACAATGCTTATGCAGAGGAGCTCATGAGATAGTGCCCTGCAGCATGTGCAAATCCGTCTACAACGGTAAAAAACGATCCTAAATCATCGTTTGCCTTCGATAATTAGTGCTACCAAAATCTGCTAGCCCACAGAAGTCTGTTTCAATCGAATTCCGTCCTTCTAAGAGATGGCACAACAAGAAAAAAAGTGGCGATTGTTGCAGAGGACCAAGTTAGTTTTTTTTCGGAGTTGGACTCTGGTCTTTATTGAAACTTCCGAGCATCGGTGCGAAGACGGGTGATGAAGGCGAAATTCGAGCCTTTTGTCCAACAACAAATGCCTGTGAAGGAATGGAAATGCCTGGAATCTGGTGATGGTTCTGTTGGTTGGGGGAGAAAAATTGAAAGGCAATGTCAAATGGTGGTACTTTTTGAATTCGAAAGTTGTTCAATATTCATTTTGTAAAACATTATTTTGTTTGTGCTGTCAACTACAAGAGTTCTTATAACTTAGAAGACCAATACTTCAAAGTAAAATGGTTGTTACCTTTAGTTTATGTTATTGTCTTTCATTTCAAATAAGAGTATAGTTGCGAGATACGAGTTGCTGAATAGTTGTAGAATGTGAGTAGTTGATCGATCGACACAATATATTTGGTCAATCAGTCTCACATGCTACAAAATTTGATATGAAAAAAAAAAGTTGCAAGTTTGTTCTGCATTGGTGGCAAGAGAATTTTTCTGTTGCATTACTCCTTGAAAGGAAACAATAAACGACCCATTGATCAAAAAGTAAACTTTTTTTTTTTGACAAATAATAGTTTAAATTACTTTAACTTAAAGTGATGTAAATTCAAAGTCAAGTTCAAAAGAACAGGTCCATGGAAAGGAATCCTTTTCGGATCCCTTCCTCCTAATCCACAAAGTTCGGGGATCTGGACCGTTGAAATTTGATTCAACGATTAAAGTTATTATAACTTTTAAAGTAGGCCTCTGTTTGTAGTCATTAAATCACATTTCAATGGTCCGGATCATCGAACTTAATGGATTTGGAGGAAGGGATCCGGTCCCTTGTCACGAATTTGGGTGTTAACCCAAATAGAAGAAGTGGGTCGAATACTTGGCATGCCCATGCCCGACCCATGTCCGGGAATATATAGTATTTAAAGTTTGAACAAAGTGACCGTTCCAATTATTTAAAATTGGTATTTCAAACAAGCAAAACTGAACCCTCCATTGTTGCCGCCGCTTAGCTTCTGTAGTGCAGAGCCAGAAGTTTGACCCAGAAACTCTTCTGGCACGATCAAGTTGACATATTTACTTGTCTTCTACTTGACGGCCATCGGAAAAGTGAAAGCTTTTACGGTTTATATGTATTGAAAACGGTAGTGGCGGCTACTCATGAATGAGGGCAGTGCACTCAATTCTTGACGGCACAGTGAATGCTTTGCGCAAGGTTTCGATAACCCATTGCAGGGAATTCAAATTAGGAGCCCTCGCAGACGTTTACTCGGCCAACAATATCCTCAATGGATATGCGAGATGTCAAGATTTTTATCTTGCACACAAAATGTTTGATGATATGCCTCACAGAGATACTGTCTCTTGGAATACGATGATCGCGGGGCATGTAAACTATGGAAGCTTTGAGGGTGCGTGGGAGATATTGAAATCCATGAAAAGATGTGGGTTTGATTCTGATGGGTATACATTTGGAAGCATACTTAAGGGGGTTGCTTGTGCTTGTCGATGCGATCTTGGGCAGCAAGTGCATTCTACGATTGTTAAGACGGGTTATGCGGGTAATGTTTATTCTGGAAGTGCCCTTTTGGACATGTATGCAAAGTGTGGGAGGGTTGAGGAGGCGTATGGTTTTCGAATCCTTGCCAGAACGTAATTCTGTGTCATGGAATGCGCTAATTGCTGGTTTCGTGCAAGTAGGCGATCGCAAGACTGCTTTTTGGTTGTTGAATTGCATGGAGCAGGAGGGAGTGAAGTTTGAGGATGGCACAATTTCTCCACTTCTGACATTGCTTGATGATGTCGAGTTTTACAAGTCTGTTACACAGCTCCATTGTAAAATTATAAAACATGGGCTGGGATGTGAAAGTACAGTGTGCAATGCGACAATTACTTCATACTCAGAATGTGGGTCGATAGAAGATGCGGAAAGAGTGTTTGATGCTGCTTTTGGTAACAGAGATTTGGTAACATGGAATTCCATGCTAGCAGCATACTTGGTTCACAATAACGAACTAGTCGCTTCCAAACTCTTCATCGACATGCAAATGCATGGATTTGAACCAGACATCTACAGTTATACAAGCATCATCAGTGCCTATTCTGAAGTAAATAAAAACCATGGAAACTTCTATCACGGGTTGGTGATAAAAAGGGGATTAGAAAAATCAGAGCCAATCTCAAATGCTTTGATAGCGAGGTATCTCAAGTCAAATAAAAATTCCATGGAAGAAGCGCTGCGTATCTTCGAATCCATGGAGTCTAAGGATCGTGTTTCATGGAACTCCATTTTGACTGGATTCTCACAAATTGGTTTAAATGAAGATGCCTTGAAACTCTTTGGGCACATGAGATTTTCGGGGGTAGAGATTGACCATTATGCTCTCTCAGCTGTTCTCAGGTCATGTTCAGATTTAGCAACCCTCCAACTGGGTCAACAGGTTCATGCATTGACACATAAATCAGGTTTCCAGTCCAATGAATTTGTTGCTAGTTCTTTGATCTTTATGTACACAAAGTGTGGGATCATTGAGGATGCTAGAAAATCTTTTGAAGAGACCCCCAGAGACAGCACAATCACTTGGAACTCGATCATTTTTGGATATGCACAACATGGGCAGGGATATGTTGCACTCGACCTCTTCTTCCAAATGAAGAAGGAAAAGGTGAAACTAGATCATATAACGTTTGTTGCAGTACTAACTGCTTGTAGCCACATGGGTTTAGTAGAACAAGGCAGCAAATTCCTAAAATCTATGGAATCCAATTATGGAATAACCCCGCGAATGGAGCATTATGCTTGTGCAGTAGACCTATATGGGCGCGCTGGGCGTCTAGATGAGGCAAAAGCCTTGATTGAAGCAATGCCATTTAAACCCGACGCAATGGTTTTGAAGACTTTACTTGGTGCCTGTAGGGCTTGTGGGAATATTGAATTAGCTGCTCAAATTGCAGGCCATCTGCTAGACCTAGAGCCGGAAGAGCATTGCACTTACGTTCTTCTCTCCGACATGTATGGACATCTCAAAAGGTGGGATGAGAAAGCTAGTGTAAAGAGGCTTATGAGAGAGAGGGGTGTGAGGAAAGTCCCCGGCTGGAGTTGGATAGAAGTCAAGAATGAGGTGTTTTCTTTCAAAGCCGAAGATCGCTCCCACCCCTATTGCGAAGAGATATATTTCGTGTTGGGAGTTTTGATGGAGGAAATCAGATGGATGTTGCTGCTAATTTAAAGGTTTTGATGCATGATTTCGATCATATCGACGGGTACTTTGATGATATACATCTCCAGAACCATGATTCAGTTTTGTTGGCTGCATAAGGCAGGCTCACCATCTTTGCTCAAAATACCAAATTTTGTTTCACATTTGTATACTATTGTGTGCACTATTTCTTGTAACGATTCAAATTCTTGTTCCAAAAAATTTAATAATTAATAAAAGAGTTGGAGCGTTCGAAGTTTTGTAAATTGATCAAATTCCAAATCTCTGATTCAGTATGAATACAGGCTTTGTTCCAAGGAATCACCAACTTGCCTTGTCTGCTAATGTGAACATGTTGCAAAAAGCTAGTTGTGTTTGTGTATTAGAACTTTTTTTGATGCGTGAACTAGAAAAAGTGGAGAAGTTATAATGGAACTCCTCACCGTATATCACAAGTCCATAAGGCATTGCATATAATTCACATGGCATTGCATGATTAGTTCAGAAATATTGCCATTGTCGCATTTTCGTTGCATGAAAGTTCTTCTTATGTGTTCAAAAGTGAGTTCTATATGTTTACAAGTAGTTATTTATATATATGAAACATAGTGAGCAATAACCCGTCTTAAACAAAGAGATAACTATTGAAATAAGCTAAAAAAATCAAGTTAATTCAAAACTAAAAACGACAGGTGGGTTTTGCAGTCAAGCTCCCTTCTGCCTTTGCACTTGATGGTCAATCTTAGTCTGTAATAAGTACTCTATGGTTCGGGTCTTTAGCAGGCTTACTGATAGAGATCAATCGTTTGTTTCTAGATGCTTTGATATTCCCCCTTTTCATTCTAGTTATTGATATGGGAAGGGAGAAGAAGATGAATAGATCCAACCGCAACTTTCGAATATGGAATTCAAAGGGATCAAATAGAAAATGATACTCTGAATAATGGTTCTAAAACGCGTCTTTAGAGTAATGTCCTTTCTTAGAGTATCATGGTGCATTGAAAAGGGGTGATGACATCCAAAGGAGGCATCCATGTGCAACCAAAAAATCAGCACATGAAGACAACCCAAGAGTGTGAATACAAAGAAAAATTCATCCCTGTGTAGTTTGGATAGTTCTTTGATGAATAATTAACAAAGCACTAGACAAACAAGTTGTGAGCTGCCATGACAGTAATGCCTTTGTCTTTCATATCCCTTTATCTTTTCCTAATGTAATATCAATCTTCAAGAACTAGCCACCACCAAACATTGACTCCATTTCAACTAGGGTATTGATATTTACACGCTAATTTTTATCCTTCATGCATTTTTTTTAATTTTCAGCTATCAAGTCGAATAAATTGAAAATAATCAAATGATAAAAATTAGCTGTAAGTGTGTGGAATGTAAACTGTAGATACCACCACCTGTCAACTATTCATCACATGAACAATATATATATATATATATATATATGTATGTATGTATGTATGTATATATAATATATTACAAATCACATATTATAAATTATAGAAAGCCGTCTCTTCTCGTATATTTCTTTGGGTCCTCTCTTTTGGACTTTTGCAACACCATATTAGCAGGTGACACACTTTATCACTATTTTAGGGTTTGAAATAATCTTACAAACTATACAAGTAACCTTATTATAGACTATCATGAATATAATCGGTTCTTCTCTGAACAAGACGTTCGTTTTTTATTAAAAGACAAGTTATCAATAAATTACTGAAATTATTAATAGATAAATTGTCAACAGCACAAATTATCGATGTGTTATTATCAATAGTATCAATGCAAATTTCGTTATTTAACAAAGAACGATCATATGTCACATCAATTTCTAGATATATAATATGGAGGTGGATTGTCTGCCCTCCTATTTCCATATTCTCCCCATCCTCTCTTGTTTGTGTGGTCACGGTTAAACCACGTCAACATTTTATATTTCTATTACTTTTTGTTTTATTATTTATATAAAAATTAATATAAAATATTGACGTGGTTTAACCGTGACCACACATCGCAGAAGGGCATGGAGAGGGTATGGAAATAGGAGAGCAGACAATCCACCTCCATATAATAATGAGAACTTTAACGAAAAGCACCTGGTACTGTTTACTTTAACGACAAACCACATTTTTACACTAAAAAGTCAATTCTGGTACTATTCACTTTACCTTTTATTTTGTCCTTATCATTAAAACTCAAAATTTTTAAGCTATTTTCATTAGTTTTCCATTGTTGCAGAGTAAAAGCTTCAGATGATGATCTGAACTAATCGTACCTAATATCTTCACTTTCCATATTTTCAACTAAAACCCTTTCATATTTTTCAATGGTGCACAGTGCACTATCAAAGTGGGCAAATTAGGGAAACAAATAATAATCATAATAATTATAATAATTGGGCCATACCAACGCGTAAAGAAAATGAGCTCTTATCGAAAAATTAATAGATATTGCCTGCTGGTGCTGAAAACTGCATGGTGATTGGAAGATAAGCCGTCAAAATCTCTATCGGTATCTCTCTCTCATATTTTGGGACAGATTCCAGCTTTCCTCCACCATCCACTACAACTTCTGTCTACCCCACGCCCTAACAAGATTCCAACATCTCTTTCGTCTTTCCCTCTCTGATTAAAGATTCTAACTATTTTCTTTTTCATGATTAATCACCAGAAATTGTCGATGTCCAATTGACAATCAAACCAGAACAAGAGAACCATGCAGGGCCAAGTTTGGTTGGTCACCAATTCTGTTTAATTCACATTAGTATGAAAACTAGGTTATGATGTCGAATCTCATAAAGTCAGGAACGATAATTTGAGTTTGGGTTGTGACGGATTCATGAATATTTCTTCATTTGATAAAGTAAAACAACTAAACTACCAAATTTATTGAATTCGATTTTTTTTTTCTTGTTTTCTCCCTTCTTGATGTGCAATTTTATTTTTTATTTAATGCTTTTGGATTAATTTTTTGTTTCTTTACCTGTATTTTGGTTTTCTTGTTTTATGAGAGGTAAAGTTTATGTTTCTCCTGACTAGGTGTAACTTCTTTTTTTTCATGTCAGTAAAATTCTCCCGTACTCGAAGTTCTCCAATAAATAACAACTAACTACAAATATGTTATCTTCTTTGAGGTATTTCATTGTACATATGAAGAAAAACATCGACAAATTAACTTAATTGTTGGCACATATTAAGCAAAGGAAAAGAGTATTTCTACTTATTATTGTGGTACTATTGCTTAATTAGTGAGGATAGTCAATTAAACAAAATATTTAATAAGAAGTTTCTATTTATGTGGAGTAATTATTGAATTAAATAAAACTTGGTGGGTGTCAATTTTCTTCCAATAAGTTCAGTTTGGTGTGCTCAGTGTGGTCTTCGTGTACTCAATTATTTGTTGGGTGCAAGTGTGCCAACATATTATGCACCATACGAACTCATATCGTTATTGGTCTTGTTACACGGTTGCACCTAAAAATAATAATTACCTTGTCGAACAAGTCTTCACTTTAATCATAATATTTTCTCAAACTCTTAATTCGAACTAGTGATTGTCTTCATTTTAATCATAATATTTTACTTATAATATGTTATCAAACTTTTAATCTGAACAGTGAGGAGACGTATTTTCTATTCGAAAGTAGATTTTGGAAAAAATAAGCAATAGTATGCCAAAGATTTACATGGGATAATGAAATGAATGAATCAATATTAGATTGGACTTTTAACTTGTTGGAGTACGTTATAGTGGGATGGATTGGTGGAGACTTTGGGGTAGGTGGGTTACCACTTATATATGTGTATAGGGTGTTGTTATTCACATATCTATTTTTATTTCTTACACACTCTCTCAAATTTTAGCCGTTGAATCGAATGAATTGAATAAGATATATGGATAAAAATAATAAGGGCGACTGAATACTGAATAGCACTACCCTATATATATATATATATATATATATATATATATATGCAAAGGGATCTCCATTTTTTTTCAAAACATGGGGATTAGGTGTGGGGTCCACTTCACATCGAATTTCAACGATCTGAACCGCTATTTTGTTGGTCTCGAATCATAGATCATCCTTGAAAAAATTCAATTCAATCCGAAACCATTTGCCTATTTTATTATCAAAATCAAATTTCATTGTTTCTTATATAACAAAGTATTCGTTTATTTCTTTGAACTCAATTAGATGTCTTAAATATTTCCGAATTGGCTAATATTTTGCAAGGATGATCTATGAGGTATAACTTGAAAAATAGACGGTTCAGATCGTTAAAATTCGATGTGGTGTGGACCCCACAAGAGATTCCCATTTTTATAAAAAAAAAAATAGGAATCCCTTCCCTTAAAGGCTTCCTATATATATGGAGCGATTATGTTGCACCACATTTTTTAATAAAACTTTTGACACATATTTTTATGAGGTTCACTTTGTAATATATTTTCATAATCCAAACCATCTATCTTTTAGAACATCATTCATAGATCATCCTTGCACGAAGTTAGACAAATCCAAAATCATTAAGGCATTCATTTGTTGTGAAGAAAATGGACGAATATGGTTCTACAAAAAGAAAATACATTTTGAGTGATTTTTTTGTAGACATCACTTTTGGAGAAAGACCTAAAAGATAGATGATTCGGATAATTAAAATACAGTATAGAGTAGGTACTACATAAATATGTCTTAAAAATTATGTAAAAACAATGATGTCACATATATTCGTCGCCATTAAATATATATTTTAGGAGTAAAATCATGGAAAACCTTCATTACTCCATTGGGGCAGCCATTCCAGCATATCTCCACTACTGAAAAATCAAGTGCAGAACATCATGATTGATTTGCTTCCCATACATATCTTTTTCAAAATCTGAAGTGAAAACCCCTAATATTCTAATTGGCTTTAAATTTTACAACGTTGTCGTTTAAATGATAATTTTGGTTGGACCCATGTCATTTCGGTGCTGAAAATATACTGTACAACATGTGATATATATATATATATATATATCTTCTGGAAGGTTGAAATAATACTAGATTTAATGAAGTTGCTAATTTGCCTATACTTAACAAGAAAACCAAGTTAAGGTGTATATAGTACTAACTATATCTAGAAAAGATGAACAAGTCATGGATGTAGTGCATGTGGTAATTCATAGTCGTGCTTTTATTATTTAGGAGAGGTGGGAGCTTCGAAACTATTATAATAATTTAAGAGATAGAAGAGTTTCGAACTTGGAAAGTATGAGTGGAAACCCAATACCCTAGTCACTCGGATATTAGACCACGTGTGATAGTCATTTTAATTTTATAAATTATAAAATTGTATAGCTCTCGGGTTCGAGACTTGGGAGCAGCCTCTCCATAAATGGGGGTAAGGCTAGCCGACATTCACATCTCTCAGACCCTGCGTAAAACGAGAGCCTTATGCACTGAGTACGACTTTTTTTTTTTATAAAATTGTATATCTCTTGTCATGCTGACTAATCACGTGATGAAAATTTAGGCCCATGCTATGTTTTACTTATATATGGACAAAAGGTGAGCTAAGGTTGCCTCACGTATAGCTTCTAGTATTTGCCACTCACCTTCAAGATGCTCTGTATTTGTCGACATCTGCGCATGGGATTGGGATGGTTGGACTTAATTCTCCACAGCAAAGAAAATGAAGCTGAAGCCACACAGTCTAAATACTTACATACATATATGTATACGCCGTGTATACGTAGTGTTATATCTGCCCTTTCTAAAAAACAAACCCTATTGTTCAACCAAAAAAAAAAAAAAAAACCCTAATCAATCAGTTGGTCTGACGTCGTTTAGTGGATTTGATATTGATGTGCAAGCTTGCATTATGTGTTTGCTGTTTAATGGGTGACGTGTAAGAATTGATAACCCAATGGGTTTCCAATTAGCTTATAAGGCAGAGAAGGTCACGCTTTGTAGGAGCAATACCATAATTTGAATTCTGGGAAGAGTTTTCGATACTCATGGCGGCAACTCCCAGTTTTTCTAGCTCCTCCTCCTCCTCCTCCTCCCTCATGAGCTATTTGCTTGGCTTTTCTGTATTTCTAACCCTATTTCTCAGCTCTTTGGAGAAGGGCTTTGCCGTGGAAGAAAACCAGCTTCTCCATCAACATGCTCATACAGTTGAACTCAATTCTCTGCTGCCAGCAACCTCCTGCAGCCCTAGCTCCTCCGCCAAAGGTTAATAAATATGTTCATGTTTTTTTTATTTTTATAGTTTTAATTTCAGTTTTATTGGATATATTATATATATAGATAATGAGAGAGTAGCAAAGTGCAACCAATTAAGAGCTTAATACAATTCCCACGTTCCATATTTTATACTATTTACAATAATCGGAATTGAACATTTTGTAGATCATCATTGCAAAATATCATTTACAAAAATTCATTCATATCGAAAGCTATATTTTGTTAGAGCTTGCTTATACGTAAATACATGGTTTAATTGCAAAGTTGGAAACATATGTAGTGCGGGTGGTCGGAGAATCCAATTCCTTAACCCATGAATTAGTAGAGACACACCAACAAGCCATTAGAAACATTTCTTTTTATAAAATAGATAAAAGAAAATTTAAGGGGATACTTTGATAAGTAAATCACGGGTTAGATTCTGCAAAATCTTAAAAGTCATAAAATTGATGTTTTGAAAAGTAATAAACTATTGGTAGTTGTTTTAATTTTCAACAAGCATGATTGTGAAATGGAACCAAACATGTAAATAGTGAGCCACAATTACCCATTATTTGATGCCAACACGATTATATATTAGCACCAACAACAAAAGGGATTATGTTTTTTACGACAAATAATTACACAATATTAATTTAATTTACGAAGAAGGAAATTCAAACTTGAGTATATAAAGAAAAGTATATTACTCTAATCAACTTGGCCAAACTCAAATCTACCGAGAAAAATAAAAAGAGGGCAATTTTGGCATAATAAATACATTCCTTTTGTCTGAAAACAACTTTCAAAAAGTGACTGAATGAGCTTTTTTTTCGTGGCTTTGTTTCTTAAAGTCTTTTGTTTCCAATAACATATTAGCTTCTCTGTGGTAATTTATCTTTGATTGACAACTGTTAATAAATTTAATCCTTTTTAATCTTGTAGTTATAAACTTAACACGTATCAATTAATGATGAATGTCATATAGATGCCACACGAGTGCAGAAAATTTAATCTTGTGTATTTGTAAACTGCAATAATTAAAAATTACGCAATGACCAAATATGATACAATTAATTAAATAAATTCGACTATGATTGCTCAACAAAAACATGACATAAAAACTTTCTTTTTTCTTTTTCTTTTTTACTAAACAAATTAAAATATCCAAAAACCATGCATGTTGTTTGGTCATCCATGTTCACATAAGCAGTACGACAGAGACCGGCCAGCAGGCCAAGACACCGATTAATATTGATGCCTGGTGCCGACATTTACCAAATAATGCAAAGAATATGACTAGGCTGAATAATCTTTCAGTCTCACAAGCCAGTCCCATCTTAAAGACAAATTGCTTTTTCATTATTCAAAGAAAAAAGACCAGAAGAAAATATTACGTATTTTAGGTATTTCTGCTCGTCAACACTTTCTTCTAAAGTAAAAATCGTTAACTAAATTCTAGCGATTTTAAAAAAAAAATTCTCGTATAACTCGGAAAACACTTTTAAGTTTTTGTGCTGAACGAAATCAGAAACGCTTGGTTATAAATTATAATTAAAAAAGTGTGAACTCATTGTGAATCATCTATTTGAATTCAGATCAGAAATGCTTGGTTATAATTAAAAAAAGATGTGCTATCCACACATCCCATTTTACTTCTCACACTCTCCTTGATAATTTATGTCCGTTGATCTTCTTCAATTCATCCAATCGAACGACTGAAAATTAAAAAGGTGTGTGAGAAATAAAATAGAGTGGGTGGATATCACACCGCTTAAAAAAATTGTGAACTCATTGTGAATCATCTATTTGAACTCAGGTCACGACAACAAGGAACCAACGTCATCATCGACCGTACTGAAAGTGGTACACAAGCACGGACCATGCTCTGGAATCAAGAAGAACAAATCCAAAATTCCAACCCACGCTCAAATCCTCAACCAAGACCAAGCCCGAGTCGACTCAATCCACTCCCGAGTCAACACCAAGAAATCACCGTCCGCAGCCACCGTCGACAAACTCCGCCCATCCGCCGATACCAAAATCCCAGCCCAGTCCGGAAGCGTAGTGGGCTCAGGCAACTACATTGTCAGCGTGGGCCTGGGCTCGCCCAAGAAGATGCTCTCCCTCATCTTCGACACGGGGAGTGATCTGACGTGGACCCAATGCCGTCCATGTGCTAAATCATGTTACAAACAGAAGGAGCCAATCTTCGACCCCGCAACATCATCCTCATACGTCAACATCTCTTGTAGCTCCGCCACGTGTTCCGAACTGGTGTCAGGCACTGGAAACACTCCCGGCTGCGCCTCCTCCACCTGCGTCTACGGCATTCAGTACGGAGACCAGTCATTCTCCGTCGGATTTTTCGGGAAGGAACGGCTGAGCTTAACGCCGACGGATATTTTTGACGGGTTTTTGTTCGGTTGCGGCCAGAACAATCAGGGACTCTTCGGAGGCGCCGCCGGTTTGCTCGGTCTCGGCCGGGATAAAATCTCCATCATCGAGCAATCCGCCTTGAAATACAACCGGTTCTTCTCCTACTGCCTCCCCTCCAAATCCAGCGGCACTGGATACCTCAGCTTCGGCAAAGGCGGCGGATCTTCCGGCGCCGTGAAATTCACACCCCTCTCCGACGTCTCCCAAGGCGGGTCGTTTTACGGCCTCGACGTCGTCGGGATCAGCGTTGGCGGGAAAAAATTACCGATTTCCGGTACAATTTTTTCCTCCTCGGGGACGATTATAGATTCCGGGACAGTGATCACGCGCCTGCCGCCGACAGCATACAAGGCACTGCGCGACGCGTTTCAGCAGGGGATGAAGAGCTACCCGTCAGCTCCGGCGCTTTCGATTCTCGACACTTGTTACGACTTCAGTAACGCCGATACGGTGACGTTTCCGAAAATTTCGTTTGAGTTCGGCGGCAGAACGACGTTGGAATTGGACCCGACCGGGATATTCTACGCGGCAAGTGCCGATCAAGTTTGCCTGGCGTTTGCCGCAAACGGTGACGACAGCGACATAGGGATATTTGGGAACGTTCAGCAGAAGAGGGTGCAGGTGGTTTATGATGTGGCTGGTGGAAAAATCGGATTTGCCCCTGCAGGATGCCCCTGAGGGCTTATGTGATTAGCTGCTTAATTAGGATGGTTAAAAAGTTTGATTAAGCCAGCAGCAGCAGCTTAGGGAAAATGTTGGATTAAACCGTTGAAGACTAAAGATCGTCCTAAATTGTTATTAAAAAAAATGTAATAGTAATACATGTAGACGAGTCGGAACAAACTATATAGTGACGATTGGTATGTGTGTGGAAACATAATAGTAAAAATGAATTTCAAGTGTGCAAGGTGTACAAAATAAAATAAAAGTACGTTTTTCTATCGTTGCGATATTATAATTCTTGCATATCTACTCTACTTGATAATTTTTGTAAAATTTCGCTTCAGTTATATCTTTTAAAGAATTGAATGCAAGTCGATGCGTAAGATTGCAAGAGGTTTATATTTTAATCGGCTAAGAATATTTACTCTTACTGCCGTGTTCAATTCCTCTTTAAAAAAACAGTGTTGAATTAGCCAAGTTGGGAATGAAAAACACTATTAACTTGCTCTTAGCGGTGAGTGGTGAGTGATGAGTGATGACCGAATTATTACGCGAGGGCATTTCAAAGATAATACTGTTACAGAAAAGTTGCAAAAGCAGGCATGGCAGGCATATCTTCTGCATATCCTTGCCAAAAGCACTTTGAAGGGGAAACAAACAAGATGGTACAACAAAAAGGTTACACAAATTATTGTGGCGCACCGACACCTTCGAATTTCCATTTGAATTGCCGTACGTCCCTACCTCCCAATGAGCTTATAAGAATATATAGGAGTTTATGCTCACATTCCAGGAGCTACTAGCTAGGCTTGTTATTCGATCATGGCAACTCCCATTTCTATCTCCCCCTCCTTCCTCAGGGTTTTCTTTGGTTGCTTTGTGTTTTTTATCTGCGTAATTCTCCGCTCGCCGGAGAAGGGCTTTGCTTCGGCAGAAGGAGATACAAAAACTGACCTTCTTCCACATACTCACACAGTTGAAGTAAACTCTCTGCAACCAGCAACCACCTGCATCCTCTCCACCCAAGGTTCAACTCCATATATAACAGCATTATTAAAGCGCTTCCTTCTACAGCTTAAGTTTTTGAACTTTAATTACCCCCCTATTAACTCTGTGTGCGTGCGTTTTGTCTTTTCTGATCGAGTATATATGTATATTCAGCTCGAGCTAATTGCTTATATGAAACTCCATGGTTTAACCAGGTCAGTACATACGCATGGATAAATGATCGCATCGACCAGATGTTGTCTTAGTAATTTACATGTTTTAACTATACAGGTGGACTAATATATATAAATATATATATATGGGTTAAGATCGGAGGACACTTATTTTTTGACACGCATTTTATAAGATCCAGTCCACTATCCGAAATGTCTATATTGTAATTCATCATTCTTAAATTATTTATTAATTTATTTAAATTATCGCATAGTTATGATAAATGAGAAACTAAAGATGAATATTTTCAATTCAGGTCCTTACAATAATAAGGAATCAGTATTGGAAGTGGTACACAAGCATGGGCTATGCAATCAACACAAATCACAAAGTAACCCTACTGATCAGGATCGCACTCAAATCCTAAAGCAAGACGAAGCCCGAGTCAGCTCAATTCACTACCGTCTTAACTCACTTACACTACCTGACGCCGCCACCAATACCATCCCCGTACAGTATGGTCTGGAACTTGGATCATCCAACTACATTGTAACAGTGGGCCTCGGCACACCGGCCAAAAACCTCTCCCTCCTTATCGACACAGGCAGCGACCTAACTTGGACACAATGCCGACCGTGTGTCCGATCTTGTTACAAACAGAAAGAGCCAATGTTCGACCCCTCTCACTCCACCTCATACTCCAACATCTCCTGTGAGTCCGCTGCGTGTTCTCAGCTCACAGTGGCCGGCATTGGCCGCGACTGCTCCGCCGCCACTTGCACTTACAGCGCCAAGTATTTAGACAACTCCTCCTCACTCGGCTTCTTCGGCAATGACAAGCTAACATTAACACCGACGGATGCTTACGATGATTTCGATTTTGGCTGCGCGCAAAACAGCAAAGGCCAGTTCGGCGCGGCCGCCGGTTTGCTCGGACTGGGCCGGACCAGCATCTCCTTCGTCGAACAAACCTCCCAGAAATACAAACGAGTATTCTCCTACTGTCTACCTTCCACTTCAAGCTCCACCGGCTACCTCAAATTCGGCCCCGACGGAGGCTCCGGTAACGCAGTCAAGTTCACGCCGCTCAAAACTTTATCCCAAAGCGCTACATTTTACGCCCTTGACCTAGTTGGCATCACCATCGGTAGCCGTCAACTGAAGATTTCAGCCTCTGTCTTTTCAAAGTCGGGGACAGTCATCGACTCGGGGACAGTGATCACGCGCCTCCCGGCCACCCCATATGCCGCATTACGCGTGGCTTTTAGAAAAGCGATGGAGAAGTACCCTTTTGCGAAGTCGAAGTCTGCCCTACTAGACACTTGCTATGACTTTAGTGGACTTAAAACGGTGTCGTACCCGAAGATAGGGTTTGTATTTGGAGGTGGGGTTACGGTGGACTTGGACGCGACAGGGATACTGTTCCAGACGAGTGGTTCGCAGTTTTGCTTGGCGTTCGCCGGAAACAAGGACGATAATAGCGTCGGGATTATCGGCAACGTTCAGCAGAAGAGGCTGCAAGTGGTGTACGACGTTGCTGGGGGAAGGATCGGATTTGGCTCTGCAGGTTGCCCCTGATTGATTAGCTACTTAAATCATTGCTGATGAAGATTTCTAACCGGTGGTACTGCTAAATATGCAGCTACCGAAAAAATAAAGTTGTCGGTACGTAATGATCTCGTTGTTTTTGTGGTTCCGGTAATGTCAAAGTGTTAGTTATCTGTTATTTATCCTCCTTATGAATGTTTGTTATCCTTTTTAAGAAAGCAGTATTTTAATAGATTTGAAGTTCACTGAAAGTTTTCGGAAAAAAAATTAGAGACTTTGTCTTTGATTTAAACCGTTAGAACATCAAATATTTCATTCAGGTCCAATACAGAACTTAGCATAAGTGATTACATTTTTTTTTTCTTTTTCTTGTTCTTTAAAAATGGACCAACGGATGGTTTCACCATGGCATTCCACTCTTTCAGGGCAACTACTAGGTTCCAGTAAGTTTTCTCATCGATTGTACCTGACTGGAAAAATTATTCAGAGATTTTCAACCTACTCTTGACCATCATCGTGTTTTTTTTTTGCGTTGCCCTAATAGTATTGATTTCATCGCAGAGGTGATGACTAATTAATTAGTATGGACTTCTATTAAGGACATCCACATGTGCAACCGGGAAATCAGCGCATGCAGCCACAAGAAAATTCATCATTATGTACGTAGTTTCCTAGCTTGGAAAACTTGATCCACGATATTTGTCGCATCCTGGTCCGGGGTCCACCACATCGCGGGCCCACTCCATTACCGTAGCACGATATTGTCCGCTGTAGGCCCCAACTACGCCCTCACGGTTTTGTTTCTGAGAACTCACACGAGAACTTCCCAGTGGGTCACCCATCATGGGACTGCTCTCGAGCGCTACTCGCTTAACTTCGGAGTTCCAATGGAACCCGAAACCATTGAGCTCCCAAAATACCTCGTGCTATGGTGGTGGAGCGGGCTCGGAATGTGGTGGACCCCAGGCCGGGATGTGACAATTTGGTATCAGAGCCTAACCCTGGCCGTGGTGTGCCGACGAGGTCGTCAGACCCCTTAAGGGGGGTGGATTGTAAGATCCCATATCGTCCAGTGGAGTGATTCTTATATGTATATTCTCATCCCTACCTAACATGAGGTCTTTTGGGAGCTCATTGACTTCGGATTCCATCGGAACTCTGAAGTTAAGCGAGTAGCGCACGAGAGCAATCCCACGATGGCAAATTCGGGGGTGGGGTTTAACAATATTTGACGGGAATTGCTTTGTCTTCCTCTCAGCCATGCATTTCTTATCCAAATCGATCTGTCTTTGTCTGCAAAGACTACACAAGTATACGTTGTTGTTGAGTAAATGATAAGACATTTCTAATTACCATTTGACAGCCATTGACTTGCTAATTACCATCAGAGTCTGCGTCATAGTCGTCGTCTACGTTTTACAACCATGAGTCTCCTTATAAGGGAGTGCATCCTCATCCCAAATCTAAGGGCTAAAAACTTTTAGGGAGTAACAAGGCTTCATGGAAATTGCTCCGATGAATTTCAGCTCCTTTTTTTTCAGGTCTTTTGGTTTATATGTATTATTTATATGTCTAGTTCTCTGCTCTTTGGAGAAGGGTTTTGCCTTGGCAGGAAGAAAGGATAAACTTACTCATCACACAGTTCAGTTGAACTCTCTACTGCCAGCAACTACTTGCACCCCCTCCACCAAAGGTACTTACTAATTTTTTGTCTTGCTAACTCTTTCAGTATGTGTCATGTATGTCAATATATTAATACATGCACGAATCGTGTTCCTTAATGTTTAGTTATGATATGTTATATATGTTATAAAAATAATTTGGATGTTAGCGTCATGTCGTCACATAGTGTTACTATTTTTCATGTCATATCAATGATAAATTTATACAAATATATATTATATCAATCAGACTGTTAACACATTACGTGATGCATGTTGCGCTAGAGCATCAAATAAAACAAATAAATTGAAAAATAACTCACAATTTATTAACCGATTGAGGTAACAAATGTACAGAGAAGAAAAAGAGCTTCTCACAAATTGGCTCACTCAATTATTCGCTAATTCAGGTCACAACAAGAAACATGGATCAGTACTAGAAGTGGTACACAGGCATGGCCCTTGCTACGAACCCAACCAACACAAAACCAAAACCGCTACAGATCTTCACGAATATTTCACTCAATTCTTCAAGCAAGACCAAGCACGAGTCGATTCAATCTACTCCCGCCTAAAGGCCACCAAAAGATATTCAACCAAAACAGATGACAACATTCCGATTACGCAATCGGAAGATACCAACACCTTCCCGGCCCCTTCTGCCAGGACGGTGGGTGGTTCTGGCAACTACGTTGTGAAGGTCGGATTAGGCACGCCGGCCAAAAGTTTTTCCCTCGTATTCGACACCGGAAGCGACCTAACTTGGACTCAATGCCAGCCTTGTCGATTCGGCACCGGAAGCGACCTAACCTGTTACGACCAAACGGAGCCCATATATGACCCGTCACTCTCCACCTCCTACGCCAACATCTCATGCAACACCGCAACTTGCAATGAGCTGACGTCGGCCACAAGCACTGGACCCTACTGTTACCGGGCGACGAACACGTGCCTGTACCTCATTGGGTACGGAGACAACTCCACATCCGCCGGATATTACGGAACCGAAAGGCTCACGTTGACCGCCACTTCGACCGACGTGTTTGATGGCTTCCTCTTCGGGTGCGGCCAAGACAACGAAGGTCTCTTTGTTGGCATTGCCGGTTTGCTTGGTCTCGGCCGGAACAAGATATCCCTCATCGAACAAACCGCCGCAAAGTACGGCCGATATTTCTCCTACTGCCTTCCTGTCGACCAGAGCTCCACAGGCTTTCTCCGCCTCGGCAACGACCGAGGAAATTCCGCCGCCGTTAAGTTCACGCCGCTCACCACCCTTGCTGCAGGAGAATCATTTTACGGGCTCGATTTGGTCGGCATCAGTGTCAGCGGACAACAGGTGTCCATTCCGTCGACGGTTTTTTCCACCGGAACTCTCATCGACTCGGGGACAGTGATAACGCGGCTGCCGGCAGTGGCGTACACCGCGATGAGAGACGCTTTTAGGGAAGGGATGAAGAGCTATGGGGAACCCAAGACAGTTGAGGGGGTACTGGACACTTGCTACGACCTTAGAGCGTATAACTTGGATACGGTCTCGTTTCCGGCGGTAGCGTTTACGTTCAGTGGCGGGCTTACTTTGGAATTGAAAGTGGGGGGGACAGTGGTTGTGATAGTTGATACTTCGCAGGTTTGCTTGGCGTTTCTTCCTACCCCCGAAGAGGGGATCATTGGGAATTTTCAGCAGAAAGGGTTTGAAGTGGTGTACGATGTTGCAGGAGGGAAGATTGGATTCGCCACTGGAAGTTGCTAAATTGAATATGATTAAGTAATAAATCAGGTTTAGAGTGGTCTCAAATCTGAATTAATTTAGCACTACTGTCTACTGAGTCATTTTGCTGAATAAATTTTGATGAACACAGTTCATGCATGTATGTAGCTACAGAATTTGGTGACATGTTTAGGGTTTGAGTGCGCGTATAACTATATATATATAGCTCAAGTATAAATAATGGAAGCATTTGGCAAGATTTCCAGAACAAAATTATTTACTCCATTTGTGGTTCTCTTGCTTGGGTTCGTATGATGTCACTTTGTGGAACAGTCATTGGGAGAGAGAAGTATCAAACACTAGACCTAATGTGTAGAGATTAATACTCTTAAATATTTGAACTATATATAAAATACTTGTACATTCAAATTTTGTATCTCCACTTATCACTCGTAAATGTCTCGAAGATAAATGCTAAGAGGACTCTCTCAAAGTATATGAGACTCTTCATGAACTCTGTCACTTTACAGTTTAAAATTAATTTTTGTTCTAACATTATAAAGCATTGTGTAAACAATGATTAAAAATTGTTTTTGGTAAAAATATTTTTGGAACAATCCTTAAGAAGCATTTTTAAGTGTTTTTGCAAGTTTCACCTAAATAGACTTATAAATAACTTTGAGGGACATGTGTCATTTGATTATGATCAGGAGTGAGCTGATATACCTTTAGCCTTTCCAAATTCCATTAGTAATCGATCCTACTTTTCAAAGTGTGGGACACTTCAGGCTTCACGAAACAATAATAATTAAGAGACAATCAACAAATCGAGGTGAGACAACCACCACAAGGTGACCAGGTGGTTGAGAATGAATTTCAAGTTTGTATTCCACATGTCATATTATGAGTTCGATTCCTGTCGTTGGTAAATCACACAATGGTGGTTTGAGAGAGGATGAAATGTCTCTGTGAGTCTTCTTAGCCTCCGAAACGTGGCAAAACCACCATTTAGTCCTTAAAAAAAATCGAGGTGAGACTCTAATTATTGCTCATACTTGACGCTGTCCTCAAAGATTTATTTAACTAAAACCAGCAAATTAGCAGCCAAGCACATGAAAGTTGCCAAAAGATTAGAATTAAAAAATAAATAAATAAAAACTATTGAAAGTGGGACCATTGATTTTTTTTAATAATATGGATTACAGGAAAAAGAAATAAAGTAAAAGCTTATCAAAATTGGTCGGGCATTCCTAATTCTAACAACCGGATGGTGAATAATGATTCAAGAAAACAAAAGGCTCAGAAGAGTCGGGCCCCCTCTAAATTCTCCACGTGAGGCTTCATCGACAGAGTTCTTCTGTTTATTTTTCATTTTCTAAATTCACATTTTATTTAATTTTAAATTCAAGATAATATAAATTCTACTTTACGCTAATTTAAATTAAAAAAAAAAACAGTTTGATCTCGAACTCGAACACACCGTATGTCGCATTGGATTTTATCAACCAAAGGCAAGGAAAACATGGTTACAATACAAGAGTAAGAAAATGGAAAAAAAAAATGGTGGACGCAAAGTATTATTTGTTCTTTATAGGTAGAAACTTTATGTCGATAATAAAAACAAAGAAGGTGACATGAGATTCGGAAATTAGAGCCCACAATTGCTTTCAGCGGTGGGAAGGGGAGAGCCATGTAATAATCGGCCGAATGGGTCCTAATTGCTTTCATATGGGTGTAAGTTACTACCAAACTAGGCTTAATAACCTCACCAAGCTACGCTAAGACATGCCACACCCACAAGTTTTTAGGCCTCCCCTCCCTTGAAGGAGAGAAACGGGAGGAATCTTGTTCGGGTGATTACAACAGTTTTCACACTAGATGAGCTCAATGTTGAATTTGTTTGGACCAGATTTTACACCATCGGCCCAAGCGATTGAGGCCGTTGAGTGAGCATGGTTCTTGACCGTCGGATAAGCAAGTTAAGATATTTTGTTAAGAAATAATATTATGGTTTTTAATCATAATAGTTATCTTTATCTCAGTTTTCTTGTGGGATTCTCATATCGAGATAACGATAACTATTATGATTAAAAACCATAATATTATTTCTTAATAAAATATCTTAACTTGCTTATCCAACAGTCAAGAACCATGCTCACTCAACGACCTCAATCGCTTGGGCCGATGATGTAAAATCTGGTCCAAACATAATCAAATAGAACTAATATTCACAGGGTGTTATGTTTTTGTGATAGGCATCACACGAATGAAAGAAATAAAACAGCTGAGGTTATACTCTAATTATACCCAAGTTTGCGTCTAATTTCGTAATGTCGAGATATACTCTCATGTAACTGATTCAACATCGTCATTGGACATGTGCTACACTTAAGGAATGCATGATATGCATCTATTGAACGGATGAGGACAATAGGTCTATGTCTTGGTTCTAAAAGAAACCCTCATTGTCTTATTCTTGCGGATGAGATGTATTTTTACTTTTTGAGTCGAAAAAAAAAATCGCAAGGACATGAAACTGATTCATTTCTCATGGAATAGTCTTGTCACAGTCGCACTGCCAAACAAGTTCGGTACAATGTACTATCATAAATAATGCCACTTTCCCGCAATTTATATGAAATAGGTTCACCGTTATTATAAAGTCCCAATCCAATAATACAATATCATAATTTTTTGTCCACTTATTGTTGCATTATTCGACTGAAAGACACCAAATAACGGAGAATCTATTCCATACAAATTGGTCTCCATTTCCACATTGCAAGAGTCGTTACCTTTTGTGACGAGATTAACGTCCCCATACCCCACTACCAGAATCTCTACAGCCAAATAAAAGTAAAATAGTAAATCCTAAATTTTCTGTACTAATCCCGAGAAACCAAAAAAACATGTGGAAAGTGAAAAATCAGTCGCATTGTAATTTGTTGTTACGATTTCAATTTTATTATCTACACGTTAATCCCCATGAAAAAAGGGATTAACTTTTTACCAAAGGGATTAACCAACCAAGTGAAAATTACAATTAACAACAAATAATAATTAAAGGCTTTTTCTTAACAAAAAAGAAAAAGAAACGATTAAAAGTTACCGCCGTTTAATATTCTCAATCGTCGTCGTCGTCGTCGCCGGACTTGTGATGATTCACCTTAGACGCAAAACTCAATCCCCGCGCTACGACCGTCGTCTGCGGCGCCTCCACGACCGTTGCAGACAACATCTCCATCTCGCATACCCGAACCGCGCCGACTAACTTCTCAGGCAGCTCATCCTCCGCCTGCGCCTCCACCACAAACCCCATGTCGATCGTCACGCTCGTCACGTACCTCAATGCAAGTCGCAGAATCGCTTTCGCGATCCCAAAACTCGCGATATCGACGTCAATCTCGAGGTAGTTGGGTCCTCTGTGGTAATTACACGTCAGCGCCTTCCCCAGCAAGCACGCACTGTAATTCCCTACCGTCTTCTCGACGATCCACGGCCCTTTCACGATCCGGTTCACGATCTTGAACCGCTGGTTCCGGAACGCGTCGTCGCCGTTGACGAACCGGTAGAGAAGCGAGCCGGCAGGGATAGGATCCTCCGTGGCGAAATAGAAAACGGCGCTGTGCTGGTCCTTGCCGGGAATCTGGAGATTCACGGCGAAAATGAAGCTCTTCAGGGACCTCCCTTGCGACTGTGCCTTCCGAAGCGCGTTGGCCACGCGATTATCGGGGCGAGCGAGTACGTTCTCGAGTTTCGTGCTGGATCTGAGCCAGTCAGTGCCGCACGGCTGCAGTAGGTAGTCGCCGGCGGGGCCTTTTTGTTTTTTCGACAAGTAGTTCTTGGCGCGGAGCGAGAATAGGTCCCCGGGAGGTGACGCCCAGCCGTTGGTTCCGGTGGTGAGGTCCACGTGGCGCAAGGATCCGCCGTGGACGGACTCGGAGATCCAGTGGGCGGTGGAGGTTGTAGAATCCTCCGATCTGGAGCATTTTCCGGCGTGTTCCGCGACGGAGCTCCGGTGCTTTTGTTTCGTCGGACACATGGTGGCGATGGTGCTTCTCTACTCGTCTCTGTTATTTTGGTTTCTCACTATGACTCTCTTCTCCTTCGAAGTGAGCGCCTCATTTGTGGAGGCTACCGCGGTGTATAATAGTTGGGGAAAACGAAGTACCCTTTGTCTTGGACAAAACTACGAGAGTGCCATCGTTTCTGATACAGCGAATTTTGTATTATTTATTTCCTATATGATTATTGATCCCATTTGGGAGTCCGGGAGAGATAATTTACACGCCGCTCGTATCTGCTTTTGTTCCTTTTTTTTCTTTTCTTTTTTCGGAAAGCAAAATTATTGGTCGCACTTAAAATATTAGTTCGTTTGGAATGATTTTTAAAATATTTGAGAGCATTTTTTGTGAATTTTTTTTAATAAATCTTTAGTAAAAATGTAAATAAATCTTAGAAAAACATTAAAGTATTTCTTATAAAAAAACATATAACTGATGCTTCTTGTTGGAAGTACCTTAAGTGTTTTTGGAACTCATAAACATTTTCTTTAAAAATATTTTCAGTTATTTTAAAAGTACTTACAAACGATTTATATTAAAAGCACTTAATATATCTATGTTATTTATTAAAATTCGTATAAATATATAATAAGTATAGAATTATTTTTATTTTGCACATATGGAGCGGTGCTTTCACCTCTTTGTTCTCAAATTCTCCTTCTGCAAATTATAATACTTTTTTATTTATACTACCTATTAATCGATAACTCTTTGCCAACCAAAATTCAATAAAAATACTATTATACCTTTTATATATAATTGAAAAAAAAAATTATACGCCATAAATTAATTTGCACAGAACGATTTTAATATTTTCCTTTTTTTCAGTTGTATTTTTTTTTCTTTTTAATTCTTTTGCATTTAAATTGAGCATGCTTAAACGTTCCTTTGACTCGTGGAAAGAAAGACACACACACATATACACTCCCTTTGACGCATGCCTTGGATTAAATAAATCCCAATGTAGCAAATCAAAGAATTAGAATATTAATTAATTGAATAAAAGCAAACGAAATTGCGTGCACCAATAAACTCACATGTGTGCTTGGATTAAATAATGTCCATGCCACACGAGAATAATTATATAATACAAAGAGAGGGGAAAAAATATGATACAATAATCGGATCCAATATGATCCAATAATTTATTTTTATAATTAAATAAATTATCGTAACACAGATTCGAACTTAAATACAGTTTAGAATAAAATAATTTCTTCAAATGTGTGAAAACTAAATTGAAACTTAATTTGAAAATGCATGCTTGCAATTTGTTGATGGAAATCTCCACACCACGTTTTTTCCTATTTTGTTTAAATTTACTACGACAAGCAAAGATCTGTCGTATGGAGCAAAAAAAATGAAAACTCATGCTTCACACATGAACCAACCAAGCTAGATTAACATCATTCTATATATATATTCTTTATAAAATCATTCTATATATTCAGTTTCTGATATTTGATTTCGTTCTCCGACACATAAATTCATGGAAGGGCGGAACTAACAATTTTCACAAGAGTACTAATTTCCATTCTACTATGTACATATGTAATTTTTTTTTTCACTAACGATAACGTTAGTGGGTTTAAATTTTGAATGTCAAAAAAGAGAAAATTGATTGGGATTAAACCTTTACCAAGGCGCATATGCATTATTATTTTTCGTCACTATGGTAATTTGCCATTTGCATGTGCGACTTTTTGACTAGTTGGCTCTTTACCAATTTCTAGTTCTCGTTATCCAATTCTGTCAAAATTTATAATTATCGTTACGTAGAATTCAATTCCATTACATTATATGTTAATTCCAACAACTAAATTATTCCTAAATTATCATATACTTGAGTATAGTCAAGATTAATATTTAATTCCAATTTCTCTCTTGTTTATTATTAGGAAGATACATTCTCCATTGTTTTCAAATCCTTGACAAACTTTTCCTCTGTCATAATATCTACTTTTCTTTTCTTTTCTTTTTTTTTAAACAAAATAATATCTAGTTTTCTTACGAGTAAAGCAAGAATAAGAAGCATGATATGTAATTTCCTGAACACAAGAGGGTGTTTCCGGAAGTGAAAATAGGAAAATGAAAAGAAAGAAGGGGTCCCTAGTGACAAAGTGCTTGACTTGACCAATATGACCATCAAGAAACCGACACGTGTTATTTTTCTTTGTAAAGGGCATTCGCTTCAAGAATTTCGTTTTCGATAGCCCCAATTTTTATGCCACTCTTTTTTTTTTTTTTTTTTAATTTTTTTGGTAAAGGCTTTTCTTCAACACTTTCAATATGACGTCACAGCTGGAAGCCATGAAAAATGTTGGAAATTGGAATATAACAATCAAGTTTAGTTAGTGTGGCACTACAGGATTACTCGGTGTAATGGTATGACTTTCGGATGTTCCGAGATTATGGAGCGATGACATTCTTTTATCCTGCTGTTTAATATTTTCAAGAATTGTCTTGGAGTTTGGTTTTGAACGAGAATTTCTAATTTGATTGCTCTTTATAGGAGAGTTGCTTCATTTTCATTTTGGTGTGTTACATCTTTGTTGGATCTATGTTGAATGATGAAACTGTTTGGTTTGTTGTATCTACTACATTGGGTGTGACGGTGATTAAGTGATGTGATTAGATCCGATGGGCATGATACTCTGTGTCTTAATATATTATTTGAGATTTTTTTTGTTTTCACATGATCTTTCTGTAATACGAGATTTAGTAGCTTCATTTATCTCGTAATCTTGCAGTTTCTGATGAGTTCAGATAAGTGCTTAATGTCTACTTATTTCTTTGAGATTCGTAATGTTAATTGTTATATTTTTAGATCTAGTTTGTAAGAACCCTTTTGAGACTGAGTTCTTCATAACTATTTGTAATGCTCTTAAAATAAATAAATAAATAAATAACCTCACAAATAAAATATATTTGATGGGGAAATTAAAATATAAAACACTAACAAAATAGGTGTTTCCACATATTTATTTTTATTTCTCATACACTCATCTCAAATTTTAATCATCATATCAATTGAATTGAAAAATCAAATAACATAAATTAACAAAAAAAACTTGTTAAAATTAAAATAGGTGTGTGTTTCGCATCACCTATCAAAATATCGTTTTAAAAAAAATCAAATTAGTTGGAGAATCGCATATTGGCTTGGTGGCTCGGATTTGAGACGTGGCACATAGAAGCTACTTGTGCTGAGGGTTCCCACCAGCTGACATCAATGTTGATATTGTTTGTGGTAACCTGTTGATGTGATGTTGGGAATTTTTTGAACGGTTTGTAAAATTCCATATTTCAAATGTTTTAACTGTTAAACATTTGTTTAAAATATAAAAAATTAAAATATAACAATTAAAATGCTCAAATTACTTGGGAGGACCTAAGCATTTGTGTGTGATATGCTGGTGAACCATCGTACAACTGAAAATGCTCACATTTGGGCAACACAGTTGGTTATGATGGTTCATTAGTCTTTTTTTGTTTTTTTATCTAAGTTCGAATTTCCTGATAAAGTAATTTAGTATATGGTTTTACCAAAAAAAGTAAATTAAATCACATACTAAAATACATGTGAACATAGGCCGGAGAAATTCAAATGTTATAAATGCAACACGATAACGAAAAAGAACCATATCAACATAAAGCGAAAAAATCAGTGTGAATCTCGAATATCATGACACAAGAATCAGCCAGACAACAGCGAGAAAGGAATTCTGATGACGTGCTACGCAAGCTCCAAAATCAACATAATGAGGCCCCATTATTTACTTAATTTAAAAACAAGAGTTAGTTACACTATTGTACAAAAGATGCAAATTCGACACTTAGTTGTCAAATTTGAAGAATTATTGTTCTAATTTCCGAAAAGAGATCTTCTCCGGATCTATACATTTGAAACTCAGGAATTACATAATTCGGATCTTTAAAATTTGATCATACAGCTAAAAACTATTATAGTTTTTAAATTTTTTTTGCTAACTTTTCTATTTTTAACTGTTGGATTAAATTTTAAAGGTCTGAAACATTTGATCCTGAGCTCAAATGTAAAGATCCGGAGAGGATCTCTTCTCCGAATTTCCGTCGTTATTGCTCGATGACTTTGCAACATGCTATTGCTGCCTGTGTTTTTGTCTCTTTCAGCCTTCACTGTATATGGCATGCCGATAGGTGGAGCCCTTTGTAGACAGGTTATAATTGCTAACTTCAACCAACTATTTTTATACTTATTTTAATATTCAATAAAATCGGAATATGATAACAACGAAAACGAAATATGAAAAATTCAAAGAGGGTCCAAGAAAAAAGTCCATAGACTAGACTACAACGATTGAGATATTATAAGCTACTTTAATATGTGCCAATGAGTTTTGAACTTGAGTGCAAGACGACACGCACACTGCCTGGCCAAGCTGACTAACCCACATATACAATGAGATAGGACATGACTTTGTTTCAAAGAAATAAAAACGATTATTGAGCCTCCTACATTAAGTTTTGGCTAAATTCATACTAGTTCAGTGAGTATCTCCATCTTAAATAAGGAAGATGATTTTTACACTCTTTTTCACTTCCGCACACCCCTCCTTTTTCTAGTCCTTGGATGGAACAAACCGAAGGAGAATCAAAGACCATAATTAAAAAGGGTGTGTAAAAGGTGAAAAATGGTGTGCAGAAATCCAAACATGACCAAAAAGAAAAGAAAACACTTCCTATAATGTTTCAGGGGAAGAATATACAAATCGCAAGTTTTAGGCCCAGTAATATTTAATACATGACAAGATATAATTCTGCAGCATTTCACGTGAGGTTTTCTATGTAAGATAACATCTAAACATTCACGTTCAGTACTCATCTGCATTTTCTCACTAGTTTAGATACTCAAATTATTCCATGCTAGATGGTTTCAAATCGTAAAAGTAGAAGAAAAGCAAGAAGGTAAAACTCAACAAATAGACAACAGCTGCTCATCCTAACATGATACAAAAGCTTTTTGGCATGTCTAAAGATTGGTAATGACATTTTCGGTAACTGCACCCGGAAAGAGATCATCTTCAGATATTTCCCTCCAAAGGCCAGGGATCAAATGATCCGAACTTTTAAAATTTGATCTAACGACCAAAAATTATTATAGCTTTTAAATTTTTTTACTAACTTCTATATTTGTTGTCGTTAGATCAAATTTTAACGGCCTGGATCACTTGATCCCTGGGCTTTGGAGGGAAATATCTGACACACCGACCAATACGTCGGAACAGGGCGCATCAACACCACCTTGAACATTAGGATCATCCATCTAGTTTCCAACTAAAAAACCAACAAAGTACCTTGCATAACATGTGAAATCATTCATATGCACACATCCTAAGTTTAACCAAACAGCAAGTACAACACATCAATCCTCTGCAACATTGGATTGGCAAGCATTGGCCGGAACCGGCTGTAGAACTAAGGTGATGGATGACACCAAAGTCTAAAAATGACTAGGAAACCAGTGCAGCATGCCCGTATAAGGACGCATCATTTTGACACGGGGTTACGTATAGATGATCAATCACAGCAATCTTACATAAAGTATGGTACCGTTAAGTTTGGTACCATCACATTGTAAATTGCCGGACTTGCGTTCTTTTATAACTAGGTAAGTCGAACGATAACAACATTGTTCCTCGGATTACTCAGGAACCAAATGAAACATATATAAAGCTAAAAGCTTGATGGGGGAAATAGCATCTAAATCAAACAGATTGTTCATCACTCTCGTAGATTTTCTCCGAACCGGAAAAGAAGCTAGTTGTAAAATATGCCGAACTCGTACTTGCACTTATCAAAAACTGAGCAATTAATCAATGTCAATCTATCTAGCTGCAATCACTTGCTATTAATCAAACTTAATTAGCACTAATCCACAAGAAATCAACAGATTAGGGTTTTTAATTTATTAAATTTCATAAATAAACCTGTTGCTCCTCATTGTACTTTTATCCTCCGGGGCTGCCTCTCCTTCTCAGTAGCTAATCTGTACATCCAATACACCTATCACGATGAAAGATCAGATTTTAGACAGTAATTAAAGCGAAAAATCAAGAACATGAAGGAAATTAGAGAGTACCAGAGCGAGGACGTGAGCTACTATTAGGAGAACCACCACGAACGGCACCGATTCGAGGAACCATGGCCGCAGAGACGCCGGCTGCGGATTCGCCATTCGATGGAAACAGGGAGGTTTTAGAGAGAGATAGATGGGAGAAAGAGATGGAGAGATGAAGCACTGCAATCAGAGAGGGTTTACGAGCTCGATGGTTACTGAAGTTACCGAAATAAAGAGGAAAGCCAGACTCTCACAGGCAAATGGGGACGGAGCAGGCTCCGGGTCGGGTTGACCCGATTAATTTCACTTCTAAACGTGGCAGCTTTCTCTCTCTCCAAGCAATCTCTTTTTCTCTCTCTCTCTCTCTCTCTCACTGGATCAATACTACAAACACTTGCGGTGCAATTTGTATATCTACAAAATCCGTGATGGGTTCCTGAGCTTTGCTCCGCCGTATTTTTCCGCCGATGAGGAATGTCTTTGCCGCCCTTAAGCGCCACCGCCACGTCACTCTGCTCTCCCAAAGTAAAGTACCGCTCTCAACTTTCTGCTTGGGCTCGCATGATCACTCCGTTTTTCCTGCGTCTAGATTTTACTAATTATCTGTTTGGTTGCTGAGAAACGGCGGGAAGAAAATCGCCTTCGCCATCGCTCAATTGCTATATTTCCTAATTTCTTGATTTGTTAGTTGATTATATTGATGAATTTACACACTTGGATTACATAATTGCCTCGTTAAATTGATTAGGGTAGTTAAACTCACGGATTATGTTACGAGTACAATTTATTGGATTTTTCGTGCAGCTCTACACCATGAGAGAAAATGCACTCCATTGGGATGCCATAAATATGTTGAAATTAGATGGAGACAAGAAAATTGGTTTCCATGTCAATTGTTACAGCAACATTCGTAAGTTTACGAAATGCTTCATCTTCAAGGCATGTTTTGTGTTCTTGTTTGAATTTCAAAATGCTTCAGTGTTATTCGGTTTTTGCAGTATTTCCACCAGCGTGCATGGTGAAATGCCATCGGCAGAGTATGCAAAGTTGAGGAAGGAATCACTAGAAAGTGAATTCGGGCATGCTCTCGATGCAGGCTCCAAAAGTATTTCTATTGTCTACTGCTTTGGTCCGTTTTTAGCTTTGTATAGAGCTGCAATCATTTCATTTCATGTGGTGAAGCTCACAGTCTGGCAATTCTTTGTCCTTGACATAAGGAAACGCGCCGTCAAGGTAATCGACTAAATATGTTTGATTTATTTTATGGTGTTGCATATGCTTTTGCTTCTGCATTGATTTAGTGATGCTGTGACTGTATAGTTAGATTTACGTAAATTCTCCTTTTATGATCCTAAAGTTAGAGAAATGTCTGAGATAATTAATGTGATCTTGCAGTTTCGTGAAACTCTTATCCGCTTGGGACCTTTCTACATCAAGGTAAGCGACTTTCTTTGCCATGCAATTTTCAAGACACCTTTTCTTTCCCCAGTTGAGAGGTTAACATCGAATGAATGTAATCTTTGTCATTCTATTTCTTTTTAATTGCGCAATGCAAGATGTACCTAGTTTATCCAATTATGTTGAATTCACAGCTCGGGCAGGCTTTGAGCACCAGGCGAGACATACTAGCAACTATATACTGCCAAGAACTTGTTAAGTTACAGGTTAATAGCTTCTTTCTCACACAGGCACATAGGATAATGGGTTATGTGATTGAATGTTGTAGCTCTCTTTACTTATCCATTATTATCCAACCCTTTCCTAACAGGATCAAATACCTCCATTTCCAACGTGTATTGCAATTAAATCTATTGAATCTCAGCTGGGTGCCCCCATTTCAAAACTTTTTGCTGACATCAGCACAGAGCCTGTTGCAGCAGCATCCCTAGGGCAGGCCTATAAAGGTTAGAGAGCTCCTTTTTAATGTCATGCTTTTTTCTTAGCGGAAAAAACAAAAATCCTTTGATTTAGTGGCGTCTCCCATCAATGTTCAGCAAAAGAAGTACATGCTTGCGGGAAACCATTCAGGAAATGTTTATTTTGTTTATTTTGTTGCTTCAAGTTTTCCAGCTCACTTGCACTCTGGGGAGCTGGTAGCAGTTAAAGTACAAAGGCCGGGTATGTCACTTGTATTGACCCTTGATGCCTTGTTATTCATTTGGGGGACAATTAAAGCATTTTGCCAAGGCCCGCAAAGATCTACTAGTGGCAGTGAATGAGATGGTGCGTTGTGGATTTCATCCCATGTAGAATGCATTTTATCATTTCTCTATCTCCATTTTGTAGAGTAAATTAAAATTTTGAATCTTCTCTAATGCCTAAACATAGATCTGTGTCTAATTTTCAAGTTGGGTGATTGTCATAAAAGTAGAAATTTTCACTTGTAACGCTATCTTCTATAGTGGGGTTAGTTTACCCTGTAACTTTTCTTTTAGTTTACCATCATGTTATTTTTTACGATGTTGCTAATGTACACGATATTTGGTATTTTATGAATGAACAGGTGAGGCATATGTTTGATGAAATTGATTACATCCGAGAGGCAAAGAATGCTGACCATTTTGCCTCTCTATGGTTCAGACCCAAGTAAGTTTTTTCGCATTTTTAATGAGTGCAATGTATTCAATAGATTATTAGATACAGAAGTCATTCCACAATAGTTTTGCCTCTTATGTTAATCCCGCTTTCATTATATGATGATCTCCCCACTGGTTAAAGGGGACCCTGTTTATTGGTCCATTTGTTTCCTAGGAACATTCTTGAGTGAATTTCTGTTCTGAATATGCCCAAATATATTTACCGTACTCTCATTCAGGCTTTTAACCTGTGTTAAATACATGCCATGTCAGCCCATTTAAAAATTTTAATAGCAATTTTCTTCATGGGTGTTTTGAATCGCTTATGTTTTACTTATTTTGCCATGGATTTTTTTTTTCTAGAAAAGAGACATAGAATAAATAAATAAAAAAGCTCATTTGGATATTCATTTGTAAGAATTAATTTATTTTATAAGTTGGTGCTTTACTCTTTTTATGGAGCTTGTATGCATGCCATAAAATTAGTGTACTATGCCGGATGGGCAAAATGTGTTGGACTAGCTTTATAGGAGAATTCATCATGTCCTGTGTTGCGTTAATTCTCTACAAAGGGAGCTGTTATATCATATATGAGTAGATTTTTCTATGTGAACGACAGGTGATGAGAAAAAGGCTGGTCCAAAGGCTACAGCTAGAAAAAGTCTTAAACATAAAGATGCAAACTGTATAAAAGTTCCAAAAATATATTGGGAGTTTACCCGTAGGAGTGGATTGATGGAATTAAGCTTACAGATGAGATTGGCTTGGAGAGGGCTGGTTTGAACAGAAAAGGATTAATTGACCAGGTATTTGGAAGGAATCGCCCACATCTATGTCCATTGGAACTTTTTAATGATAAAATTTTCTAGTTTTGACATTACAGAGATAAAAGATAAAGTAAGTTAAAGTGTAGGGCTATAGATTAGCAAAGAGAGTTCAGTAATTGAATTCTGAACTGAACCTAATTATGAAGTTTATAGGTACAAATACCATAGAAAAGTCAGATCAGATTTGGTTTAATAGTACTTAAGCAAAACTAACTAATGTGACTCTTGATGATCTTCTACTCTAGGCCTATACCAAACTCCTTAGAAAGTCGCATATTAGACACGTGAACTTTTAACTATTTTGGAACCAACTTTTAGTCTTCTATTCGATAGTAATACCATAACATGAAACAAAATGAATTTCACTTATAAGTTAAAAGAATATGACAAATGGTAATTAGAGGGTTGGTCCAATGGCTTATTGGGCCTGCTTACTGCACGTAATTTGGCTGTGTTGTTGTAGGATCTCATCCTTTTTGTCTTTCCTTATAGGGATTATACTGCTCTTTGAGACAATTGCTTGAGGTGGGATTTTTCCATGCTGACCCACATCCGGGTAACCTTGTCGCCACATCCGAGTACTCCAAATCCATTGAGAAATAAATCATTTGACATGCATTCAGTTGTTGCCGCCACTGAAGATCGTTTCCACTTCATTCTCTCTAAGAAGGGGAAGAGGGTGCGTGTATTCCTTGTTCGGGATATAATTGCTGCAGCATATGCTTTTCTTGACGATGAAGTTGTTGGTCGCATGTTCAATGAGAAGCCTGAGTCCAGAGTCTCACTTGAGTCAGAGGTTGGTACATAAATTGTATTTCTACTCCGCCATAGCAGACGAAAAAATAATAAGCAAGTGAGTTGAAAACATGCAGCATTATCTTGTCTAGTGAGATTGCTTATCCAATGTACTTTTGTTTCTGCAGGAACACGCGATGGTCATGAGGGTTGTAAATGGGTTTCGGTATCTCCGTCTAGCAATAAAGTTGGCCCCAGAGGTGTGGACGGAAATGCTTATACGCATGGCAGTTATGCCCGACGTCCATAAGTTTACATTAGACGTCGTTTCATCGCTATTCATTCATTTTAAAGGCAAAATTCCAGAAACTACTTTTGTTTGTATATCTAGACTTATGCACAAGATGGAACAAACCCGCAGCTCTTCGGAGTTTTGAAATGAGTATAGTCTTACTAAAGTTTCGTGGCTTGTGTAAGTTTATCTTACATTGTCGGTCCCAAGTCCAGATAAAGGAGGAGGGGGAGGGCGTCAGGTAGTCGACAACCGGTACTTATAGGTTACGTCGAATTCTTATGAAAATGATCTAACGGAGTACATGACACAGAACTGAGCGCAATAGCATTCTAGGATTCATATAGCCGATCCCATTTAGTAGGAAAATGCTTTGTTGTTGTTGTCATCGTTACAGTTCCGAAATTTATATACTGTGAGGAGTACTTCACACTTAAAATGAAAGACGAAATAGTTACCAAGCAGAAACTTTTGTAGCGAAAGTGAATATTTTGCTTTAAACATTAGTTTTTGAGCAGTAACTTTGAAACCACTTTTCTTTCTTTGCTTCTTGTCTATGCGATCTTTTTTGACCCTCCAGAACTAGGACCAGCGCTCTTTCAAGTTTCCACGATCTCGACGGACCGTGGCGGCACGCCGGGCCACCGGCCGTTGCCTCAGTTTCATGCCCTTATCACAAGGGAAGAAGGAGACCCAGAAAAAGATTACAAGATGTTACAGCTTTCGTTTATTGAGATTTGACAATGACCTGTCCTTCGTCAATACAAATTTTTTATGAATGATGTGAGCGGAACGTGAATTTATCGTTTTCTTTGACAGACACTTTACATTTGCGACGAGGATCTTTCCAGAGACAGTCGGCCACGCGGTGGGCAACTCCTCGTAACAGTGATTGTGCGACTTTTAACTGTTGATACAATTGATCGACTTTGACCCGTTAATACATGTTGATCCGCCGTTGCTTTTAGCATAATAGAGAACAACGTTATAAGTAGTTTGAATGTTTCGTGTACTGGAAAGTTCTTAATACGCTCAATAGGCGAGATTTTTTAGTAGTATGTGACGTTGTATACTTATACCATTACATAGTAGGGCTCGTTTTGAAATGTTTTTAAAATGGTTAAAAGTGTTATATGTGAAGATATTTTTTGAACCAATCTTTAATAAAAATGCAAGTAAATCATAAAAAAACACTTAAAGTATTTCCTGCAAGAAGCAAGAAGCATTTAAGTACTTTTAAAATCCAAAAACATTATACTAAATACGCTTTTAAGTAATTTTAAATGCTTTTTTAAGCGAGTCCATAAAATTTTCGTATTTAGAGGTGAACTTAATGTTTGAGCTCGTTGGAACTCAATCATGCTAATGTGATGTAGCATCGTATTTTTGTCCTCATTCATTTGGGATTTTTCGGATTTAGTTGGAAAGGGATCTTCCAACCCTTTTTAATACACGTTTAATTAGTAACAAAGCACATCATTAATGGTGTTTTTATTGTTTAGTAATATCCAATTGGGATTTTTGCTTAAAAAAAAGGCAATGGAAAACGAAAGTAGTTGTTGACGTTTGGAGCAGGTAAAAAATTAAGAAAAATAATTAAAATATAAAAAATATAATTTGTGATTCGTGCAACCTTACAGTTGTAACGCATGAGATTTGGACAGCACATCGGGAAATTATATAGGTTAGATTTGCTTATTGTCTTAGAATTTAAATTCCTTTTTTACTCATTTTTGACATTCGTTCTTAATATAATATTTTTCTGGTGTAAAAATGCAAGTTTATAAATAAGTCAAATAAATTCCTTAACACAAGCACCGTGGTCCGTGGCCACCACCACCATCAAAACCGCAATAATGCAGACTAAATTTTTGCAGGACAGTTGACCTCAATAAGAAATTTTCATGATATTCAATAAATATAAGAGAAGAATTTGTATAAAGACATCTTCGGACACGTCATTCATAGAATATCTTTCAAAAAAGTATTAGAGTTTATGACTTATATCTATTTTCAGTTTTTTTTTATTCATGTTGATTCCGCCTTAACTTTGTATAAGAATTGCTTTAGCTAGACAGTATTCTCAAAATTTCTAGCAAAAATGTTGATTCACCAAAAAGGAGTCCACTTTTAGGGATGCGGTTTATGCAAACAACAAAGAACCCTAAACCCACAACAACCACATGTGAACTTATGGTTGGGTACGAATTTTAGATCCGGATACACACGTCTTTGGTTCGATTCCTGACAATGATCTGTCGCATGATAATGATGAAAAAGAAGCTTAAATGCTTCCATGAGTCTTTTCAGCTCCTGAAAATATGAACTGCTTAGGTGAGACGAAACTACCGGCCGGTCTCCTTTTAATGTTGAAGAACCCTAAACCCAGTTTAGCAAGCAACCGTAAAATGACTTAAAACCCAAAGAAAATCACTTAAAAGGAAAGTCATAACCTTTGCATTTCTATTTGCATTTATTGCATATTTGGTATTTTATTTGACTTTTTCTCAAGCCTCCAACTGTAAATCGCTTCATGCAGGAGGCGACGCGTATAACTCGCTCCACTTTTTCCTACGAACCCAACAACCAAAACTAACCCCTTATTATTTTTCTTAATTACATTTTTTAATTACCAAAATTTATTATTTTCATGAATTATTATTTTTTTCTTTCCTCAAATTTTTAATCTTTTAATTATTTAATTATTATCGCTTCCTCCTCTGCTTGCGTTTGCCAAAAACTGAAACCAAAAATAGAAGAGGAGAGAGAGTCCTCTTTGGCTCGTCTTTCATCACTCTCATCGTCCTTTTCTTTCCTTCCCTTTATTTTCTCTCTCTAAACTTCTCTCTGTCTCTCTCTACCTCTCTGTCACCTCTCTCTTCCTCCATCTATGCCACCACCTTTGCATTTCTCTTCAGGTCCTCTCTCTCTCTCTCTCTCTCTCTCTCTCTCAAATTTCAAAGGTGTTTCCTTTACAGGTTTACATTGACGAACAACAAGATCCGTGAATTGGGTCTTAACTTTTATTTTGATTTTTTGGGGCGTTTTTTGCAGGTTAAATTTTGGGAATTTATGATTTCAGATATGATCCTCAAGTGATTAGAGCTAATTATAATTCGGCGTGGAAACAATTGGTCGTTTAATTGTATATATAGCAATTGCTGCTGCTGTTTTTCTTCAATATTTCATTATTTTCAAAGAAACAAGAAGTGGGGAATTTGAGAATTCGAGCAAGAAGAAGATGGGTTATCTCAATTCAGTTTTGTCAGCTTCAACCCAGGTCCATGCTGACGATCCACCCGTTAGCGGCGGCGGCCTCAGGTCGGTTACTTCTCCGGTTTATCAATTTTTTGTTTGGGTCTAAATTGTTTACCTTTAATTTGTATGGATTGTTGTAATTTGTTTTGGTGCAATTTATTTGATTTATTTTTTTATTTTTGATTTCATTTTGTTGTGTTTGGTGAGCATGCGAGATGAATCATGATTCATATGTGATATCTTCTTTCTAGTTTGGCATTCATGCTGGGGAGGTAATAGATGTTGTGTTTTGTTTTGTGTGATTATTGTGATTTGTGATTCATGGTACATTTATTGTGTCATTTTTTAGCTGTTCAGGAAGCGATTCTCGAGTTGGGTTTTATGTCATATCGCATGTGTGAATTCTAATTTCAAGGGAGTTTTGGTATGATTTGGATGGTATGATGTGTTTTTTGTGTATTGTGTACCTTCAAGAAATGACCTATGTTGTTATCCTGGTCTGGGTGATTTGGATGTTCCACTAGTCCTGAAGTATGTGATATATCTTGATTTTAAGTGGATAGTTCGGACAAAGGGTGATTGAATTTATTCACCAATCATTTAAAGATGTTAAACAAAAACAAGATAGGAAAATGATATGACATGTATGATCGAAGAAACTTGGAATATAAGTTTTTTCGTATCAGGATGTTCCCTTGTTTGTGTGTCCACCTAATTACGGCTTGTTGTGTTCGTCACAGACAAATGTAAACGTTGGGCAAATTAATTTTTTTGATTTGCGTTTGCTTGGATCTTCGGAACAATATTCTCTGGAATATTGTGATTGTGGACAAGCAGAAAAAGCTTTCCAGTGGCGTTATGATTGTGCGATAAAATAGCCATTTTTTATCTTACCCCACGTGTGCATGTGTGTGGGAATGGAGCTTATATCTGATTTTGCTAGACAGTTGTGGTTGTTTCTCCACGTGTGTGTGTGTGTGGGAATGGAGCTTGTATCCAATTATGCTAGGGAGTTGTGGTTATTTCTCCACGTGTGTGTGTGTGCGCGCGTGTCAGCGTATTTCTCCACGTGTGTGTGTGTATAAGGATGGAACTCATATGGGAAACATGGAGCTTATATCCAATTTTTTGAGAGTCGGTTATTTCCCTTCTTGCATTGATCCCTGAAGTTGGGTTCTGTAATGTGAGATTGGAATTGGATAATGATATTCCCTTTTAATTCTTTACTGTTTCTGTTCCATGGAATTTTCAACCATGATTTAGAGTTGTCTCACTAAGTGTGTTATTAAATGTGGCGACAGTCAGAATGGAAAGTTCAGCTATGGATATGCAAGCTCTCCAGGGAAAAGATCTTCTATGGAAGACTTTTATGAGACAAGAATTGATGGTGTCGAGGGAGAAGTAGTTGGTCTTTTTGGAGTTTTCGATGGTATATATCTCTCTCTCTTTGTCACACGCGCACATGCATGCCCATGCACACACATGGATAAGCCTAATCATGCTTAGGATGGGACGTATACCCAATTAGGCAGATGGGTGTGGGTGTGTGAGTATATATTTGATCTCTGCTAAGTTTCTTCCTTCTAGTTTTGGTATAATCTTCATTTGTTTCTTTGGTTTACTATTTTATCACTCAATAATATTGTAATTGGTATGACCATTTGTCGTTACAAATCTTTTCTCGATTTGACTTTGCATCAGATCTCACCCATGATCTGCTTACCAGTTTGGTCTTGGGGTTCGAGCTATTCTGGCTGGACAGTGGAATTTGTTCTTTACCACTGTCGTGGTGATCTTCTGACCAGATGAACCTCTAGGACTCTCATTTGGAATACTAAATGCTCTACATGCTTAATTCACTTTAAAATGCTAATCAGACTTGAACCTTATTTCATGGAACAGCGGTTCTGTTGTATTTCCGTCTGGTTTGACTGTCTATATAATCATTCTTTCTATTATTTTCGTATTGGATTAATTCTTAGCAAGTCTGAATTAGTTAGCAGTCATTTTGTCAGTCATGGTTTATGTGCTATCGGGTGGTTGGTGGTTAAACTTAATACATTTTTCCAGAAGCGTACTCACACAGAGAAGACATATATTCATTATGTGTAAACATTTATATATCTATCATCATATACATGCATACCTCAGAAAACAAGAAGACTGATCATCATATACTTGCATAGCATACCTTTGGAAACAAGAGGATAGATAGGTAACGTGAAAATGCTGTGTTTTCATTGAATTAGGCCATGGAGGTGCACGTGCTGCTGAGTATGTCAAGCAAAATCTTTTCAGTAATTTGATTAGGCATCCAAAATTTATCTCTGACACCAAATCTGCTATAGGTTTGTCTTCTTACGAGTAAACTTATGGTTGCGTTCTAATTAATGCTTTACAATTTGCTATTTTGGAAGTAAATAACAGTTTTCGGACTAATGTTTCACTGTCCGTGCAGCTGATGCTTACAGCCATACGGACTCTGAATTTCTGAAATCAGAAAATAATCAGAATAGAGATGCTGGGTCAACTGCTTCTACTGCGATCTTAGTTGGTGACCGTTTGCTTGTTGCAAATGTTGGTGATTCCAGAGCTGTGATATGCAGGGGTGGGAGCGGTAAGCCTTTGCACTGCCCCCCTTCCATTGTGTTTTAGCATAATAATTGTCAAATACTACAATTTTGAGGGTGAAGGGATTCTTGTGTCCTGTGTCTATTGTTTGGTGAGATTGGTAACTGCTGGATAGAGAAAAATTTTGACTGCTAATATCTTGCTCTGTATGGAAGAAAATGATTTGACCTAAAAGGATATAGGGCTCTGCAACTTTGTGCTTATAGAAATTTTTGTTGATCATTTGTCTATATTCTATAGTGGTCATATGTTTCATGGTCTTTAATATTATTCTGTTGTATCCTGCAGCTATAGCTGTTTCAAGAGATCACAAGCCAGACCAGACTGATGAGCGGCAACGGATTGAGGATGCAGGAGGATTTGTGATGTGGGCTGGTAAGGATTACTATTGTTTTAAGATTTCTCATGAAATGGCATATGAGTGTGTTCTTGATGGTGGAGATTGTAACAATAGGAACTTGGAGAGTTGGAGGTGTTCTCGCTGTTTCTCGTGCATTTGGTGATAGGCTGTTGAAGCAGTATGTTGTTGCTGATCCAGAAATCCAGGTTTGATCCTTTGTGTTGATATTTAATAGTCAATATACTGATACACGCACACACGGTGGTTTTCAAGGAATTCTTTTGAGGAAAACACGTTTCTTGGGGAAAATTTTAAATTCTCATGATTAGTGTTAGTCTCTGACCCTGAGGATGCAAAAACCTGTATATATATTTGTCTGATGCTTTTCGGCATATCTGTTTAACTTGCTTTATGTTGGCAGGAGGAAAAGATTGACAACTCTCTTGAGTTCCTTATCCTTGCTAGTGATGGACTGTGGGATGTTGTCACCAATGAGGTTTGCCCCTGGATTTTCATTTATTTGCTGTTCTGTACTTGTTGCCCAAGCATTTGATAGGGCGGGTGAATGGCAGCATGCCTAAGCTGAAAAGTTATTGTTCTGTATTTGACTACTTGACTACATGTTATGGTGGCGGTTGTGTTTATTTTGCTGGGATTATACGGTCCTGTCCTAATTAATAAACTGATTTGATTGCTTGGTATAGCAACTGATCATTCATTTCCCTTTTTTCCAGGAGGCCGTAGCAATGATCAAACCAATTCAGGATCCAAAGCAGGCAGCGGAGAGGCTAATGCAGGAAGCGTATCAGAGGGGGAGTGCAGATAACATCACGTGTGTTGTTGTTCGTTTCCTGGCTAACCAAGGGGGCTCCTCACGAAGCAGTTCCGGCTAAAGCACCTTTTTCCGGCTCAGAGTAAGGACTTGGATTCCTACCTTATTGGTAGGGTGGCGGTGCAATAAATTTCGGTATGGTTTTAGAAAACCTGTGGTAGCAATGTACTGTAACAAGGATAGAGAGACATAATGGGGAACTTATCAGGCTGTTAATGTGTATTACATGTCATCAGCCTCTAGCATAGAACTCTGTATGTGAATCTAGCTTCTCGTACTTTTGGTGGCAAGTGTAGCAGAAAAATGTCAATGTGTTTGTAAAGTGTTTCTCATTGCCTTTGCTGTAAATCTAGTGTTTCTTTTCTTTTATAACTGTTTGAAATGTTTGGGCTTCATTTCGGGAAATAATGTCCGCACCTCATTTTTCTCCTTCTGCACACTTTATTTACTTGTGGCCCTTGGATTCTTATTTGATTCGTTCAATTCAAAGGTTAGGAATGAACAAGGGTGTGCAAAAGGAAAAAAAAAATAGTGTGCTAAAAATATCAATTCCCCTTCTTTTATCAACATAAATTCAATGGGGTATTCAAAAATGAGTTCAATGGGGTGAGAAACAATTTCTAGCCAACTGACTATGCAGTTAATCTTCCATTTAGTTCTTAATAAAACTTAATTACCAACTTGATTTCCTTCATCACCAACTATTAGACTCCCCAACTCATGCACTCTCTTGATTAAGCTCCAACGACGTGTTTACTTATCAAGAATGGATGCAAAGAGATTGGTATCTTCTCATTCTTGGTATATCTAACGCACAAGGAATGAAAGAATGAGTTCACTGTTGAAATTAGCTACGACCACCCAATTTCAATCACATGTCATTATCAGGGGGGGGCTCGTGCCATACTTGAACAACTTGGTATCATACTCATGCCCAAGCTGGGAGTACGAACTACTTCAACTTCACCAAAATTTCTCAAGGTCAACTATTCTTATATCTATATGTATAATGGGAGAAGGCAAAAAAGGGAAGCTTTTATAATACCCAAATTGCCTTCTCCCATTGGTAATTTGAATAAATAAATAAATAAAGATCCACAAAAAAACCCAAGGTAATGATACTCGGGGTGATTAGTAAGTTCATTACTTTTCAAAATAAATAACAAAATTAAAAATAAACAGCCAATTGCCATACGCGTACGCATGTGGCAATAAACTAGTATTTAATAATATTTGCATAAAAGAACCAAAAACCTCAAATCTAAAGCAAAAATGTTTTTCTTACCATTATTTGTATCATCTCTCTTATAAAAATAGGACTCATGTGCCTTGACAAGCCTAATCTCTATTAGTAAGATGGTTGAACTAGATAATAAGGATAGCACTACTAAAAAAAAGTAAACCCGTCATTTTGTACCTGAAAAAGAAACCCAAAACATTTCTGTAGAGAAAGAGAGAGGACTCAGAAACATTCAGTGGTTATCGGCAAGGCAACTTTGCCATTACGCACGACGAGCGAACCAAATTGTTATCCTCATCGTCCTCCTCCTATGAAACCAGAAGAGAGAGAGAGAGAGAGAGAGAGAGAGAGAGAGAGAGAGAGAGAGAGAGAGAGAGAGAGAGAGAGAGAGAGAGAGAGCTGAGAGTTTGTGCTGCACGCTGAGCAGCTGAGCTTTGGGGTTTATATATAAACATAATGTGAGTGCGAGTCTTATGTATTTAAAAGAATTGGAGTTTGGTGGGGGATGTCAAGTTTGAACTTTACTTTGCCTTGGCCTCCAAGCCTTTGAATTCAAACATTTATGAATTATTATATTACATTTTTGTAATAATATTTGTGAATAATAATCAAATTCAACTTGCAGTCTGAGTTTGTATTCAGATGGTTTTCAAACTTATAATATATAGGGTTATTATACAAAATAGTCCTTGAGATTTGCATGATCAATAGAAATGGTCCTTGAGATTGTCTACCATCCATGATTTTGGTCATTCCGTTAAAAACTCTTTACAATCTAAAAACATAATCTTCCTTGCATTTTCCTATCCCAATACCATTGATTTTTAATTTCAAATTATTAATTTGAGCTACTGCCAATAATGTCAATGTGTTTGTAAAAGTGTTTCTCATTACCTTTGCTGTAAATCTTGTGTTTCTTTTGTTATACAACTATTTGAAATGTTTGGGCTTCTTTTTGGGTAATAATGTCCGCACCTCGTTTTTCTCCTTCTGCACACTCTATTTACTCATGGCCCTTGGATTCTTATTTGATTCGTTCGATTCAAGGGCTAGGAATGAATAAGAGTGTGCAAAAGGAAAAAAAAATGATGTATTAAAAATATCAATACTCTTCTTTTATCAACATAAATTCAATGGGGTATTCAAAAATGAGTTCAATGGGGGTGAGAAACAATTTTTAGCCAACTAGCTATGCAGTTAATCTTCCATTTAGTTCTTAACAAAACTAAATTACCAACTTGATTTTATTACTCTCCAACTCATGCACGCTCTTGATTAAGCTCCAACGATGTGTTTACTTATCAAGAATGGATGCAAAGGGATTTGTATCTTCTCATTCCTGGTATATCTAACACACAAGGAATGAAAGAGTAAGTTCACCGTTGAAATTAGCTACGTCCACCCAATTTCAATCACATGTCATTATCAGGGGGGACTCGTACCATACTTGTACAACTTGGTACCATACTCATGCCCAAGTTCGGAGTACGAACCACTTCAACTTCACCAAAATTTCTCAAACTATACTATTCTTATATCTATATGTATAAAGGGAGAAGACAAAAAAGTGAAGCTTTTATAATACCTAAATTGCCTTCTCCCATTAGTAATTTAAATAAATAAAGATCCAAAAAAAACCCAAGGTAATGAGACTTGGTGATTAGTAAGTTCATTACTTTTCAAAATAAGTAACAAAATTAAAAATTAAAAGAAAAATACCAATTGCCACATGCATATGCATGCGGCAAGAATCAAGTATTTAATAATATTTGCATATAAAGAACCAAAAACTTCAAATCTAAACTAAAAATGTTTTTTCTTACCATTATTTGTACCATCCCTCTTATAGAAATGGGACTCACGTGCCTTGACAAGCCTAATCTCTATTAGTAAGATGGTAGAACTAGATAATAAGGATATCACTACTAAAAAAAATGGTAAACCCGTCATTAGTAAGATAGTAGAACTAGATAATAAGGATATCACTACTAAAAAAAATGGTAAACCCGTCATTAGTAAGATAGTAGAACTAGATAATAAGGATAGCACTACTAAAAAAAAAAGTAAACCCGTCATTTTGTACCTAAGAGCAACTCCACCCATGGAGCCCTCCCCCCTGGCAATCCACTATTCAATCCACCCTATTGAACAGTAACTGCCTTAAATGAATAGTAATTACCATTAATGAACAGTAATTGCCATTTACATCTCCACCCTTGGAACCCTCCCCCCTGGCAATAAGCAATAAAAATAATAGTTTTTTATGTTTGTTTAAATAATAAAAAATTACAAAAGCTATCTCTCTCTCTCTCTCTGACACAAAAAAAAAAAAAATTACAAAACCCTCGGGCCACAGGCCCGTCGACTCCCCACCCCCTTCGCTCGACTCCCACCCCTCACTCGGGCCCTTCCCCCGCTGGATTTGCTCCCACCGGCCCGAGGGCCCTTTCTCCTCGCCTGACGCCCGAGCAACCAGCAAGGCTGGAGTTGCTCTAAAAAAGAAACCCAAAACATTTATGGAGAGAAAAAGAGAAGACTCAGAAACATTCAGTGGTTATCGGCAAGGCAACTTTGCCATTACGCATGACGAGCGAACCAAATTGTTATCCTCATCGTCCTCCTCCTATGAAACCACGAGAGAGAGAGAGAGAGAGAGAGAGAGAGAGAGAGAGAGAGAGAGAGAGAGAGAGAGAGAGAGAGAGAGAGAGAGAGAGAGAGAGAGAAATTTACGAAGTTCAGTAAAAAAATGTTTATGTCCCTAAAGAGATATTATTCTTCACTATGAGAATAACAATACAAGTTACACCTGAGTTAAATCGACATAACCCAATCCCATATTCCTTATACACCCACTCATATAATTTTTCCAAGAGCCTCACTCTACCCCACTCTACCCCAAGAGTTATTTCACCAGTGACTTTTCCCTCTAGCTCTCTTGTTTTTCTCTCAGCCCATGTTCAACCTTTCCCATGAGAGAGCCGAATGCTCTCCCCCTTGGACGCTTATGCGGTGCTTGCACACTTTGTAGCTCACGAATTGAGAAATTCGAACTGTTTAATTTAAAATTTGCAATCCCCATTAGCCAATTCTACTCACACACTACGCATACAATCTCTATTTTCCAACACTCAGATCTCTCTCTTGAATGATCCGAATTCTCATATATGTGGGATCCGAAGTGTGGGAACCGATGAGGATCTCAATCCCTAATTGGAATGTCCTACAAATCACTATGAACAAAAGAAATAATTAACAATAGAAAGAAGTAAAGCATGGGGATTTTTAGCAATAAAGAAAGTCTACTATGCCAAAAGCTTATCCAATTAATGGTTTAATGATTTCCCTAATAGTATATATTATTCCTGATGCGAATCCCCAAACCAATAGCAATCCAGATTCTGATACGCCCGATACCAAAATAAAATTCGTTACTGCATAAGAACAAAGTTGCACAAAATCGACGGCCAATATTTACACAAAAAGCGAAATTACAAAGCTTGATTACCGGTTAATTACATCATTAACCTAAAACGACGGAACGATGCCGTTAATTCCGTTAATTACTCAATGGGGTATTCAAAAATGAGTTCAATGGGGGTGAGAAACAATTTTTAGCCAACTAGCTATGCAGTTAATCTTCCATTTAGTTCTTAATAAAACTAAATTACCAACTTGATTTCCTTCATCACCAACTATTACTCTCCAACTCATGCACGCTCTTGATTAAGCTCCAACAACTTGTTTACTTATCAAGAATTGATGCAAAGAGATTGGTATCTTCTCATTCCTGGTATATCTAACACACAAGGAATGAAAGAGTAAGTTCACCGTTGAAATTAGCTACGTCCACCCAATTTCAATCACATGTCATTATCAGGGGGGACTCGTACCATACTTGTACAACTTGGTACCATACTCATGCCCAAGTTGGGAGTACGAACCACTTCAACTTCACCAAAATTTCTCAAACTATACTATTCTTATATCTATATGTATAAAGGGAGAAGACAAAAAAGTGAAGCTTTTATATTACCTAAATTGCCTTCTCCCATTAGTAATTTAAATAAATAAAGATCCAAAAAAAACCCAAGGTAATGAGACTTGGTGATTGGTAAGTTCATTACTTTTCAAAATAAGTAACA